AAGAAAGAAAGGAACGTACTACCCCCCCCCCCCCCCCCCCCCAGGCCCACCATTGCCTATCAACCGGGCTGCCACACCCGAATGTCACCAGGTAGGCACACTTGTTCCGCAGATCGTCGCCCGGCACTCGTGTGCCCTATCGATACCAAGGTATCTAGGTAGCTAAACCCACGAGTCTGGACGCCACGAAGATCGCCGGCCTGCTTGCAGGCCAAGTTGTCGCGCCGCCGACCAGGTAGGGCACCAAGATGGCTGAGAGGAGGATGTGCACAAACGGCGAGGAACGGGAGGACTACGAAGAATGCGAGGAGGGGTGTCCCCGAGGTGAAAGGGGTTGGGGGTGTGGCTCCATGAACAAACGGCCGTGGGAACGAAAATGGTCGGTCGGAGACTGACCACTCGCCTGCTATCTTCCAGGTTTGCCATGGGCATCTGCCAGCCGACGGGGCTTAGGGAGGATATCGGGACGTTGTCGCAGACGTGGCGCCCGCTCCCTGTGCGTTGCTATCTTCGTCCCAATGGGCCTTGCGGCTGAGAAAGGCTGGGAGGGGGGTGTGCGATAGGAGCGGGACACGACGACTTGTCCAGGACCAGGTTCAGGCCAGAGCGATAGACGGTGGTCCCGTACGCGCGCGTGGCTGTCGCTGTCGACCTTGAGGAAGAGCCCAACCCAATGATCTTCGCACAACAGCTGCTCTTATCGGCCTTCTGCAAACTTCATAAGACCAACCCATCCCCTCCTCTCGAAACAGATGTGTCCCCCCTCTCTGTACTTGCCCAACCAAAACAGCACGGAAACGCGGCGGCCTCGATACATCCCTGACATACCGGCACACGCTAGAAGTTCACTTGGTGCCTTGTTAGGTACCTGGTGGGTCAAGGAGCAGTCTTACACCCTTGTCTACAAGAACCACAAGAGCCCACTCGCCGCCGCCGGCCAACAGCACGTCTGACTGCATCTCCCCATTACATAGGCTGCTTGGCACACCCACAGTAGCGCTGCGTTCCTGTTTTCCCGCCGTCACTCAACCCAGACAGCCCCGCGAGCTCTGCGATCTGAGTAGGAAGCATTGAGCACTGGCCGCCTGCCATATTTTCTATATCATTTGCTGTCGCCTCGATCCCCGGCGCCCAGAGGCCCCTTAGTCTCGTCTCTTATCAACAAGCCGGCTCACTAGCCCCGAATCTCAAATTTTGCTTTTCAGCTCCCCGAGGACTGGAAGCTGTCTTAGACAAACAAACGGCTCTCGCTTCGCGGCTTATTTAGGGGCGCTTCTATCGATCTTGGTACCCCTGGAACCAACACCGCGCCACCGGAAATCGCAAATTAGCCATTCTAGGCCCACAACGGCCCTGGTCGCTGGTGACGCTTGGAGTGTTTGCGCGGGAACAAGAGCGTTCGGCCTTTTGCTGGGTGTTGGGGCTGCTGTGGTGGCATCCCATCTCCGAACGGAGCCACCCCTCCTGTTCTGTGGACGAATACGGCCTCGCACCTGGCCCTTGCTGCGGGCCCTGCTGCGGGATCCAGGATTCGGCTTAAGCTTGGACTTGACAACTCCCCTTTCTTGTCGTGGGCTGTCACACACCCCCCTCGTTTGTAAACTCGGCAGCACAGCCCGGCCCAATAGTCCAATTGTGCAGACACATCTCACCACACTAGCTCTGCTCCAACTTCAGCTGCTGGCCCGTTCCCCGCAATTCTTTTTCCATTGATATATCACCACCCGACGCCGCCTGGCTCGTCGTCCTCCCGGCTCCACTCTTTCTTTTACCAGCCACGCGTATCAGTCCGCCGTCCACCACCACGCCCGCTTCCTCCACCTCCGCACATTTGTTGTCGCAATAATTCTGTTGTGCTTGGTAGACGAGCACACGGGCAACGGCAATGTCGGTCTTTGGTTTGATAAAGAAGGGCCGCCAGGCCGCCAAGGAACACAAGGCCACCGTCGCCGAGAAGCAGAAGGCCGAGGCTGTGAAGCCGACGTACAAGCATGTGCCCACCCACGCCGCCGTCGATGCACTGGCCAGTGCACCCTCGGGTTGGAGGCAAGAGGACCAGCCGCGCATCGTCGAGCAGAACCGCAGGCGCAGCGCCATGGCCCTGAGCGGGCACGGCTCAATGGGCACCCCGCTCGGCCAGAACCCGGTGCACGCGGGCATGCCGCGGGTCAACAGCGCCCTCTCGCACGTCTCGTACCCCTCCCAAAACGCAAACCCCATGGTGGCGCTCCCGAGGACATACAGCTACCACGGCGGCGTCAGCACCCCCTGGGGCGAGCGGCCTACCGAGGTAGTGTACTCTCAGCCCGACATCCACCAGGGCATCATGATGGCGACGCCGCGGGCTGCCATCGGAAAGGGCAAGGCCGTTGAGAGGCCTGCCGCTGGCAGCCGGGCGTCCAGCAAAGGTTCATCGCGCCCATCATCAACGGCGTCTTCACCCATTAGGACAGGCTTGTTAACAAGCAACTTACAGCACCGTCCCCTGTCGGCAGCTCCGGCGACTCTGCAAGCTCCCAAGACGAGCTCGAAATGAGACCGAGCCGGCAACACAGACCAAGCGGCAGCACGTCGTCGATGACCTCCGAGGATGCCAGGGCCGCCGGCCCGGTTCATCGATACCACCCGAGCCAGAGGCCTAGGAGGCCGTCGGACCCTCCGGCGCCGGTCATGTCCCCGGCGGACCGCCACCACTCCTTTTCGAGCCCCGCAGACCGATACCCGCCTACATCCATGGACCGATACTTCCAGGCCCGAGCCGGCAACCATAGGCCTCCTGTGACACCTGTTATACGCCCAGGCAACGTAGCTGTCACCGCCGCCGCGGGCGCCCCGCCGGTCCCATCTCTCCCCGTCATGAACTTCGGCCCGTCCATCGCGGGAACTCCATATTCCACACCATCCTCTGCCTCTGCAGCACCCTCGTCCGCTACTGCCTCGGTAAGAAGCTCCAAGGCCGGTTCCTCTAACAGCCCCTCGTCGCCGGCCGCCCGTCCCGAGTCTCCAGTTTCTCTCGTGTCTCTGGCCGCTCCCACATCGCCCGTATCTCCTATGACGGCCGCCTCTGTATCTCGCCCACCTACCGCCGCGGCAGCTACTTCTTCTGTGGAGCTCAAGTTCGATTTCAACTTTCCCAACACCACCGTTCCTCCTGCACCATCTAGCCCGCCCAGGGTCCCTCCAGAGGCCGCCATAACTCCCGCACCAGCCGCCAGAGTATTCCATCTCAAACAGGCGTCGCGGGCATCACAGCACTCGGTCAGGAGATTCGAATTGGAGCCGCCCAGCTCCACTCCGGAGCCGGTTCGCTCTGTGCCGGCCCCGGTGTCTCCCCCGACCTCCAGCCGGAGCATGCCCAGGTCGTCTGTCACGCCCAGCCAACTGCCCATTGATTTTGATGAGCGCAGCCTTTCCTCTATCCAGGAGACAGCTCCTACGGCAGAAGTAACGCCTGCCCCGCAGCGCACCAAGGGGAAACTGAGCAAAGCGGCCCAGGGCTCGAAGCCAGAAAAGAAAACTCGCTGGTCTTTCAGGAGCAAGCCCACGCCGGTTGCAAGCTGACATACGTCACCTCGGGAACAAAAAAAAATACACGAAAAACACGGGGAAAAAAAACAACTCTATTTTCCTTTGTCTAATCGAGGTGCATCCCCGCGATCCTCTTCCATAATGTTTTTTCTTCCTCATGTCTTCTTGGAACGGACACAACATAGCGGTGTCCACCTTCAAATCACGCAATTGTTTGCTACAAACAGCTTAGCACCTTGACAACCTTGCTATCATGTGGGTTGCTGGTCGCTTGGCGCACGGTCTTTTACTTATCTCCAAGATGGATTCTTGGTCGAAACGCGGAGGCGGTTTTAGCGAGCCTCTTTTTTCTGCTTTCCCTTTGTCCGATTGAGTCATTTAGCGGCAGCCTGGAAAACTAACTAGGCCTGGAAGGCGTTGCAGCATTTGATTTTTGTTCTTCTTTCCTTTCCTCTGGATCAACTGTAATGGGCATACGCTTTGGATCACACGGTATACTAGGATAGATAGTTGGGCAACATGAGCCATAAATTTGCGCTTGCCCTGAATCGACGCAGTCTTGTTGTCATCTACAGCTGCTCTCTCGATGGAACCACATTGGCCTTTGGGGTCTGCCCACTGTCAATCGCGCCTGTTTTCCGTCGCGATGGGATCAGGACGGGGGGCCGCCCCACAGTCTGACGATCCTACTGCGAGAGCCTCAGCTGGCCGGGGTGTGCTCTAGGTAGGTGTCTGGCCTGAACGTGCAGGTTCTTCGGAATATTGATCTTTTCCCTTCTTCTCTGCCGCCTCGATTCGCCCCTGGCACCCGCTCCCAAGTGTCATTAGCGCGGGTGTTAGTTCCGCCAACGCTCTGGGCGCCGCCTACGTGGTTGGCCTCATCCTCGGCGCGTCGTTCTCCTCTGTGTTCTGGGACGGGCCCTGCCTGCATTCTTGGTCTTTTTGTGGTCGGGAGGAGAGGCCACACCAGAGGGGAGCCACAAGGTTTTTTTTTTTTTTTTGCAAAACTGGGCCAGCTAGCTGTCTCTATTTTTATCCCTGCCGCGAAAAGGTCACCACAAGGGCCTTCCTTCTGCGAGGTGTTCGCGTCTACTCTTTTTCCCTCGCTTCCTTGGTGGTGGTGTTCATTCATTCCTTCACGGTATCCTTGTCGTGGATCATACGGGCAGCAAAAGCAGCACCACACTCTGCAACTCAATCTCGGTCGACACCAGATGATCATGTCGTGGATGTAACGGTATTGCGGGGGACCACCGGTGGTGGCCGAGAAGACGTCTAGATTTCAATATTTGTCAGATCGTCAAGCGAGCTGAAAGCTTTTGGCGATTCATTCTTCGGCGGACGGCAACGGCAGGGGCCCCCCTGCGGGGGGCGGGCGGCCCGATGGCTCCTCGATTCGTGGAATTTCAACGGGCCGGGGCGTGTGTGTGGTTCTAGGCTGCAGGCTGTAGGCAGTGCCGGATGCCGGATATGTGTCGGCCAGAGGACAAAAGAGGGTGTGCATATTCAATATTCATAAGTGAGCTGGATCATCAGTGAGGAAAGCTCACATGATTGAACTTGTTGTTCGCATGAGAAGGTTTGGCTAGCGCCAAGGCTAGCTTGAACCCTGGTTCGACCTGGAGCTTGAGAGAAACCAAAAATCGTATTTGACTGCCGGACTATCGGATGCTAGCTTGGCGCTATCTTTTTGGGCGAGTAAGGGTTTTCGTTGATATCAAATCAAGGTGGGCTGGCCAAACCATGACATCAAAGCGTGGACGGGCGGAGGTCGAGATGCATCCATATGTGGATCAGGCTGGACTTCAATGCCACTGGATAAAAATAACAGGGGATCCTGTGGGACAACAAGCGGGAGCTGTGTTGTCCATGCAAACTTGCTCGTAGGGAAAACACACGGCAACGGCCGTTATCGTGGGTTTGGCTCGGATGCCTGCTCTGGGGCCGTCGGTCAAGTAGCGCTTAATCGGACTCCTGTTAAGTTGGCCTCCAGAGATTGAGTGCGCAGGTCTCGGCTCAGCTCAGAACTGGCAGCCACCCTTGGCACGCACATGGAACCGCATACCAATTTAACCAAGGCGTCGCGATAGATACATTACTGTAGCTTGAATAGCCTTGCGTCTGGCAAGGGCCTGGGACCTTGGGCCCTGAACCATGCATCAACAACGCCATGACCGCAAACTCATGTTGGCACCCGGCCAGGGTGGGTCGTTCCTGCCAAGACCAGCACAGGGGAGCTCCAGCGAGGTGCCGGTTCGATTGGGCCAATTCAATTCGAGTTGCACGCACGCACATTCAGTCACTCAGCCAGCCTCGTGCACGACGTGGGGACCTTGTCGGCCAGGGTTCAGTGTTTGGTGTCGTGGCCTCCACCTTTCCCTATTTCCAGCATCGTAGAGGAAGTCAGACCACACACCACACACACCACACCCTCAGCTCCTGCGCACAATGCACGCCACCTCCATTTCCAGAACCCCGTAGACACAAATCAGCCCATCGCCCGCGACCCCGTGCACTCCCGCCTGCAAGGGCGACAGACCGACCTCCCGCTGCCGTCATCAATGTCGGACCCCGGCTCCCTCCTCGAGGGGCTCGTCTGGCCCGCCCTGGACGCCGCCAGGAACGCCCCGCCGCACCTGATCCTACTCGCCCTGCTGGCCCTCGTCGTGCCCGCCCTCCTGACCCTCTATCTCCTCCTCCACCTGCTCGCCCCCAAGCCGCGCGCCCCCATCGCATCCGAGAAGACGTATGTGACGTCGGCCCCGGACGGCAGCCGCAAGACGGCCCAGCTGCCGTGCTGGTACGACCGCTGGCTCGCCGAGCACCGCCGCGGTGTCGCCGTCGCGGCCACAGCCCCCGGCGGCTCCTCCGAGTCCGCATTCGTCGACCCGGGCAACATCGAGCCCGCCGAGGTGGCCGTCACGGTCGTCGTGCCGGCCTACAACGAGGAGGACCGCATCCTGCCGACGCTGCTCGAGATGGTCGGGTACCTCGACGCCAACTTTGGCCGCCACCCGACGGCCCCGGCCCCGGCCCCATCCTCGCCGACCGCCGCGCTGCTGAGCCCGCGCCTGGCGCATAAGAAGCGCCAGGTGCCCGCGGCCCGCGAGTCCGTGACAGCCGGCTACGAGATCCTGATCGTCAACGACGGCAGCCGCGACCGCACCGTCGAGGTGGCGCTGCAGTTCGCGCGCGAGCACGGCCTCCACGACGTGGTCCGCATCGTCTCGCTCGAGCGCAACCGCGGCAAGGGCGGCGGCGTCACGCACGGGTTCCGCCACGCCCGCGGCGAATACGTCCTCTTCGCTGACGCCGACGGCGCCTCACGCTTCAGCGACCTCGGGAAGCTGATCGAGGGCGTCGAGGATGTGGTCGACGGGTCCATGCGCGGCGTCGCCATCGGCAGCCGCGGGCACCTGGTCGGGAGCGAGGCCGTGGTTAAGGTTGGTTTTCTTGCCCAAGCATACGTTGCATAGCCTACTGGGTACGAGGTCTCTTGCTAACCTGTTGACTCCTTCAGCGCTCGGCCCTGCGCAACTTCCTCATGAAGTCGTTCCACTTCATCCTCATGATCCTCACGCCCCCGGCCACGTCGCGCATCCGCGACACGCAGTGCGGCTTCAAGCTCTTCAGCCGCGCCTCGCTGCCGCACATCATCCCCTACATGCACTCGGAGGGCTGGATCTTCGACATTGAGATGCTGATGCTGGCCGAGTCGGCCCCCGCCACCCCCGTGCTCGCCAGCGACGGCTCCGTCATCGGCACCAGCCCGGGCATCAAGGTGGCCGAGGTCCCCATCGACTGGCACGAGGTCGACGGCTCCAAGATGAGCCTCATGAAGGACAGCATCAACATGGCCATCGGCCTCGCCGTGCTCCGCGCCAGCTGGATGTTGGGCGTCTACCGGCGTCGCCTCACCTGATCTGTTTTTTTATCGTTGCTTTTTTTTCTTTGAGAAATTTTTCTCGTGACTACTAGGGACTTGTCTCATTGCATTGCATGGTGTGAGTTACGGGGGAAAAAGCAGGTAGGTCCTGGGGAATCTTGCATGGCTGGTCAAACCCGGAATCAGGGTGGCCGAGGGGCGTTACAGAACCAAAATCGAGACACCTACGGTATCCGGTAGATATTGTATAACATCTCTTGTTCTTTCCATTGCTCGAGGTCACTAGAGTTTTATAGTGGCCGAATTCACATCATCACGGATAATCTCTTTGGTTCTTCCAATGGTGGTATAAAAGACATGATGAATCCTCCAACTCCCGTATTTTTTTGTCCCAACGCAGCAAAATCAAACAAACCCAGCAAACACGACCTACCGAAACTGTCTCTCCCAGTCAGCATACGCCTGCAGCATATCTGCCGTGATGAGCTTCCGCTGGCTCGCGATGGACGTCTCCAAATCCTGCATCGATATTCCCTCGTACCCATCATCACCGCCGCCCTCCCGCAGCTTCTGTCTCCGCCGGAGCGACAGCTTGCCCGCGTTGCGGCAGGCGCCGACGACCTCGGCGCCCGAGTTCCCTTCGGACAGGGCGACGAGGCGGGCAAAGTCGGTGCCGGGGGCCAGGCGGCGGGGCGCGAGGGCGCGGCGCAGGATGGACTCGCGGGCGGCGGCGTCGGGCGGGGGCACGTAGACGATCTCGTCGAAGCGGCCGGGACGCATGATGGCCGGGTCGAGCGACTGGGGCCGGTTGGTGGCGGCGAGCACCAGGACGCCGCGCAGGTCCTCGAAGCCGTCCATCTCGTTGAGGAGCGTCGTCAGGACGTTGAGGCCGCTGCCGCCTGACGACGATGACGAACCGTCCCCGAAGCCTTTGCGGGAGCCGGCGATGGAGTCGATCTCGTCGAAAAATATCATGCTCGGGGCGGCGGCGCGGGCGCGGGCGAAGAGGTCGCGGACCTGGCGCTCAGACTCGCCCACGTACATGTTTAGCAGCTCGGCGCCCTTGACGGCGAAGAAGTTGAGGCCGCACTCGGTCGCCACGGCCTGGGCCGTCATGGTCTTTGAGCAGCCGGGCGGGCCGTAGAGGAGGAAGCCCTTGGGGGGCGCGCCGATGTGCTCGGCGAGGTCGTCGGGCGGCATGGTGAGCACGCCGACGGCGAACCGGAGCTCCTCCTTGACCGCGTCCTGCCCGCTGATGTCGTCCCACCGCACGGGAGGGGGCTTGAGGTTGACGTCCTGCATGGCCGTGGGGCGCACCTTGAGGAGCGCCGTCTCGACCACGTCGCGGTAGAAGGCCGGGCCCCGGGGTGGCTCGGGGGGCGGCGACTGTGACGGCTGTTGGTCACGCTCGTCCTCCGGCTTTCTGGTTGGATCCCCGGTCACGGCCGCGTCGGGTGTAGGTGAGCCAGCAAGTCCGCCGAGTTTCATCTTCTCGAGCGTCAGACCCGCCACCCGGCGCAGCAGCTTCTGGAGATCGCGACCGTTGTATGCATGTGTGCGCTCACTGAGACTAGACACCACGTCCGGGCGTGCGTCTGCGTGGATGGTCTTGCTGGTAAGGGCCGAGATGATGGCACGGCGTCTGTTGGCGTCTAGAGGGGGCAGCAGCACCGCCCATTCGAGGCGTCCGTTGTAGCGGAGCTCTTCGGGAATGCTGGTGAGATAATCGCGGCAGACGGCAACGACGACGACGAGCGGGGCTTTCTCGTTATCATTGCTCATGTCCGCGCTGAGAGCATCGAGGCCCTCGGCGAGCGCGTTGACGACGGTGGACCGGTTCGCGCGTTCCTTGTCGATCAGCTTGTCCAGGTCGTCGATAAGGACGAGGCCGCGCGGCTGGGCGCGGCACGCCTTGAAGACGTCGGCGATGGCGCTGCTCTTGTCTGTAGGCCGGATGCGGTGGACGGTGCCCCAGCCCGTGGCGGCGATGCGGTCCAGGACCGTGCTCTTGCCGGTGCCGGCGCCGCCGTGCAGGACCAGGCCCGCCGTCCCCATCGAGGCGCTGAACCGCCCGCTGAGGAGCTCCAGGGCGCAGTTGAGCTCCCGGACCTGCTCCTCCAGGCCCTCGATCGCGGCGACCTGGAGGTCTGGGGGTGGTAGGAGGGCTGCCGCGGCTTCTGCTGCGGCCTCGGCGCTGGTGACGATGGCGCAGCTCGTCTCGGGTACGACACAGCAGTCGTTGTGCTCGAGCCCGTTGACGGAGCGCAAGACAAAGGTCCGCTTCTGCCTCATGAAAGTGATGTCCTTGAGCACCATGCCTGGAAAGACGAGGTCGAGGATGTCGAGCTCGGCCTTGAGGTTGGCGACCCAGGACGCCATCCACTTGTCCTGGATGGGCGGGGCCGAGTCCACAGGCGTGATCTCCTCAAAGACGACATCTTTGGCGGCCTCGGGGGCGGACTCGGCGGCGATGATGCGGTAGGTGTCGGTGTAATTCAGGCCAGCCGCCTCCTGGAACGAGCGGGAGACCTTTGCGACGGCACGGCCGAGGTTGGGGTCAGGGGTCAGCCATAACACGGCCTCCCTCCTCGTCGGGGCGGGGCCGTCAGTGGCAGAGCCCTCGGGCACGATCCTTTCGATGTAGCAGAGCCGGCCGTTCTCGACGCTCCCTGTCAACTCGATCAGGGAGTCCTTGCGGATCTGCACGCGGGAGGCCCCTTTGAGGGTTGAAGGTCCGGATGCAGAAGTGGCCTTGTCGGCCGTGGCAGGCCTGAATTTAATCTCGATAAACTGCTTGACTGCCATTTGTGCAGGAGGGTGAGGCCCATCTACAAGAGATGGGAGGGGTGGGAATTGGACCCCTACCAGCTATACCCTATTTCTTGAACGGGAAGGGGCACCCAACTATGCCGCAAAAGTTTGCCTGCACTCTCCGTTTGCACTGCTACTGCTCATCAGCCTCGCGACGAAATCGCTGTGATTAATTCGACGTTGTGGATAGTGCCGTGGGGCTTTCTTTCCCTTGTTGAATTTGTACCACAAGCCATCATTTCGTATATCCCTTGTACCTTTTCCTCATCGTATTTTATTCCCTTTCCTGATTTTGTTTTAGTATGATTCCTACTTGTGTTCTATTTCTTTTCTTATGATCTTTCCCCCCCCCCCCCCCCTGTTTTTATTCTGATCCTTTTCTGGTTTTATTTTATCCTTTTTATTGTTTGTATTCTGCCCTTCTCTTAGTTTTATTTTGATCCTTTTCTTCCTCCCATTCATGCTCCTGAAAGGGGCTGTCCCACTACACGACGTATCCAAGCGAAATCTCTTCTGAGGCGTCTTGAGGTTGATATTGTAGGAGGAAGTCAAATAGGATACCTGGTAGGGGTGAGGACAAGTTTGGATATTAGCTGGTTCAATCAGTTTGCTCGAGAGTGCAAGGTGAGGAAATCTAAAAGATCTTGATTAATATAATGAATGAAGCGTTTTGACGACCTCTGGCGTTTTACGGCTTCATTGCCAGATAACGAGAATGCAAAGCAATTGCAAGCTGCTGTCCTCTGTCTGGCTGAAGTGGTCCATAGGTGCACAGGGCTGCCTTGTCTGTTAGCTTGGACCCGCTGAAATCCCAATTCCAGTCTCAACTCGCCGTTGTGGGGTTTGGACCTCTACTACCGTCACCAAGCACCCCCCCATCAAAGCTTTGGAGCCAAAACCAAGCTCCAAAACCGAAGCCATCTCAAGCAGCCCCGGCATGCTACCTCGGCCGCCTCCATGACACGGGGTCGGAGCCTAGTGAGACGCATAGGGAACCCGGGACCGCCTTCCAAGGCCGCCGGCTGGAGTCGCTTCCAAGCCGCCCCCTCAGCGCCGCCCTTGTCGACGCCGAGACCGAAGCCGACGCAGCACACCCCCAACCCCTTCGCCAGCCTCGTCGCGCCGCAGCAGCAGGAGCCGACGCAACGCAGGCCAGAGCCTCAGCTGTCCGCCGACATCCCTACCCCGCCGCCCGCCTGGCCCGACATCTCGGGCTTCGCTAGCGCCCCCGCCGACGCCGCCATCCAGAGCTGGTCACAGCCCGACCGGGCGTCGAGGGCATGGCTGACGAGGTCTCTGGTGTCTCGGCGCGCGCGCAGGGAGGACTCGGCCAGATGGCTCGAGCTGACCTTGGGCGGCGGCGGCGGCGGCGGGCCTGAGCTGCCCCCGTCGTCGTCATCGTCGCCGTCATCACCGCAACAGCAGCCCCGCCCCGCCGAGAAGCCGGCGGCGCTCTACCTCTCGGCCACGTCGACGTCGCTGCTCCCCTCGGACTTCTACCGGCTGGCGCCGCAGTCGGACCACGTGCACTTCTGGACCACGCGCAACAGCCTCCGCGCTGTGCTGCAGGCCCGCCACCCCGTCACGCACCAGCCGCTTGGCCACTACACGCTGATATTCGACTCGGCCGCGGCCGCGGCCGCCTACCTCGACGCCGCCCGCCGCCTGCACCTGCGCTCCAACGAGCCGGGCGTGCTCGGCCTCCCCACCGCCCGCGTGCCCCGCGCCACCCTGCCCTTCCGCGTCCGCAAGGTCGGGCTCGCCGTCCCGACCTGGGGCAGGCGCCCGCCAAACCCCACCGACGGCGGCTCCCCGGGCGACAGGGGCCCCTCGACCACGCCCGGCGGGCACGCGAGGGACGACTTTCTGACCTCGTGGCCCGAGTTCCTCGGCCACGCCTTCGACGTGCGCTCCTTCACCCTCGCCCCGCCCAGCGTGCCCCTGACCATGCGCGTGAGGCCGCTGGCCGAGCCGGGGAGCGACGAGGGCGGCAGGGCCGCCGCCGCCGCCGCCGCCGCCGACGAGCTCGACCTCGACGCCGCCACCCTCTACGGTGACGACCGCTCCGCCCGCGCCTCACTGGGGGGCAAAAACAGCACCACAAAAAACACCAACAACCCCGGCCCCGGCCCGGACGCCTGGGCCCGCGCCCCGGGCTTCGAGTGGGGCCGCGCGCTGGGCGGCGAGATGTCGCGCGCCGTGCGCAACCGCGACTTTGAGGTGACGCAGGTCCTGTGCACCTTCGACGACGTGGGCGGCGACACGTCGGGCGGGCTGACGCGCAAGGGCGTGACGCTGCCCTCGGTCGGCCGCCTGATCGACCTGGACGGCCGCAGGCGCAACCTGACGTGGCGGCTGCGGCCCTCGGACGCCGTGCTGCCCGTCCACGGGGCCGCCACCGCCCTGGGCGCCGCCGACGTCTCCATCGAGGACGTCGAGGCCGCCCTCGCCGCCGGCGTCGACCTGACGGGCGACCTGCTGCGCTACAGCAGCGCTCGCCAGCCGCAGCCCGGCGACGACGACGCCGGCGCCGACGCCTTCTTCGGCCCCCGCGACGAGCCCAGGTACAGGCGCTACCTGCTCTCGTTTCAGGACGCCGCCGAGGCCAAGCGCTTCGCCCGCGAGTGGCACAAGCGGAGGGTGCTCGTCAAGGGCGAGGTCTGGAGGGTCAACGCGACCGCTCTCTGGTAGTTGCGAGGCTCAGCGGGCAACGGAGACCGCCTGTATTATAATGTCCTTTTTTTTTTCTACTCCCCTTTCTCCCTCTCTCTATCCAGACTATCTACCGAAAAGACCTTAGACATAGACATCGGGTGGGGGGCTCGCGCCGTGTGCGTATGTTCATATTGTCTGGGCCAGGCTGGGGGTGTAAAAAAGGATGCAAAAGCGACGAGGGCAGGTCACAAAACAGCGGCGACGATGTGAGAGGCTGACATCATAGAAGCAATAAAACAGATTACGTGAGAAAATATAAGCGATAAAGACACGATGAGAAAGGTGTACTAATAAATATAGAGAGAAATAAGACAACGGCAGACAAACAACACAAGCAGGGCGAATACGAACTGTCTAAAGGGCTCTCCCTGACGCAAAATAAAGGTGATAAAAGACCCAGATTCTTCAGCTCCAAACATAAAACTCCGTGGCCATCATATATTTGCACTTCCTTCCCCGGACCACTCCTTCTCTCTCCTCTGTGGTGCCACAACAGCCGGCAGCTTCTAATGAAAGCAAGGCGACAGCAATCCGAAAGCCGTAGTGATATCAGAGGACCACCACGACATGTGTAGACCAACACGCAAGCGGTAGACAATACTACCGTATGCAGTGCTGTAGTGACTTCAGGCGGGTCAAAGTGGTGGTAGTGGTGGTGGCAGCCGCAAGATAACAAAAGGTAGATATGCAAGGGGCACAGTAAAAGTCGGGAAAATGGGTATGTGATACCGTCGAAGAGAAGGCAGTCCGCTCCAGTCTTTGTTTCCTCCTCATAACCGAAGTTTATATGTGTTCCAAGATCATAAAATCAAAGAGAACGGGGGTAAACCGTGGAGCCACGGGGTCGCTCCAGCAGTGTATTAAAGGCTCGACGACAGCCCCTTTGTCGCTCTCCAAAGCCCCAAAATTCTCTTCATAGTTTCGGCTTCTCCGGAATGTCATGGAGCCCCTGGTCCGTGTTGGATGTGCCGCGTTGCTCGGTTCGTCATCGTCATCGTGAATGATAGGCTCGGCCCATCAGAATATTACCGGCTCCCACCAAAGGCTCGTCGGTTCTCGGTCGCCCCATTTCGATTCGTGAATGCCCTCCGTCACCCCCACCGCTCTTTCAATCTTCTCAAGCTCAGCAGCAGTTGCCCGTACGGCTGGCTTCGGTATTGGCACCGACGTTCACCGAAGAGGGGTTCTGGTACTCCTTGGCGGTGTCGATGGTGCGCTTCTTGATGTCGGACGCTAAGCTGTAGAAGGCCTTGTCGATGTTGATGTTGCCCTTAGCTGAGACCTCGAGGAAGGGGATGCCCAGTTCGTCGGCCAGGGCCTGGCCCTGCTCTGTCGACACGGCTCGCTTCTCCTCCCAGTCGCACTTGTTGCCAATCAAAATCTTGTTGACGCCCTCGCTGGCGTGTTGCTCAACGTTTGCGAACCAGGTGCGGATGTCTGTTGGTGGCGAGGCAAGTTAGTATTTGTTTCAGTTTGCCTTGGCTGTTGCGTTTACGTCATGCCATGTTGACAATCCATGCGGAGTGGGACATGGTAAACATGGGCAATAAAAAGGTTGACAGAAAGAAAAGAGGACACAGTACTGTTAAACGACCTCTCGTCGGTGACGTCGTAGACGAGCAGGATGCCCATGGCGCCGCGGTAGTAGGCGGTGGTGATTGTGCGGAAGCGCTCCTGGCCGGCCGTATCCCAGATCTGGAGCTTTACCCGCTTGCCGTCGAGCTCAATGGTGCGGATCTTGAAGTCGATGCCGATAGTGGTGATGAAGGAGGGCGTGAACGAGTCCTCGCTGAACCGCAGCAGGCAGCACGACTTGCCCACGCCCGAGTCGCCTATGAGGAGCAGCTTGATCTGGTGGTCGATCGGTCGGAGGTTAGTCATGGAGGCGCGCGAGGTCGGCACCGACACCTCGTGCGAGGCGGCGGCGGTAACGAAGACGGGCGCCGGTGCGGCCGGCGCCACCGCCGCCTCGTCGCCCCTCTGGCCGGTGATCCTCACACTCAGGCGGGACCATCGCTGTCGGGTGCTCTGCCTGCTGTTGAAGCGGCGGGACTCTGACAGGGGCAGGGGAGAGAGAACCGAAGCAAAGTGCTGCACGTACGAGGACATCGTAGTTCCTGTTGCCCGACATGGTGGCCACAGGGTTCTGGAACTTCTTTTTGTTTCTTGGTGTAGGGGGCGGAACAGCGGCTCGGTTTATTTCCTTCCCCTCGGACAGTCTCGCTCGACTAGAGGAAGATGCCGCCCCGGTCTGCTCGTTTGCTTTTTTGTCGGTCGGTGCGTTGGGGGCCGGCTAGGGTGAGGTAGTGGCCGTCTTGGTGTGGTGCTTGGGGTTGGGTGGGAAATGGGGCAGCCGCAGGATTAGGATGATTAAGGCAATTGCGCCCGGACAGTAAATGTGGTCCGAGTCGCTGGACGGGGCGAGTCGTCGGTTGGGGTTGGGTTTGTCAAGCGACGGGAGGCAGGGACGATGGGCGACGGTCCACGGCGACAGGCGATGAATGGAGGGGGGATCAGGATGAGTGTGTGCGGTGGTGGCAGTCGGAGCGTTGTGGTGCTGTAGGTGGCGGGTGGGATCGACAGGGAGGGAGTCTGTCTGTCTGTCTACAGTGTCTGGGCTTGGGCCTCGAGTGCTATGTGTGCTTGTGGAAGAGGCTGGATGTCGAGGCCTCAAGTGCGATCAAAAGCAAAAGAGTAAGTTCTGGCGGTGGATTGATCGCTGCTGCACAGGAAGCCGAGCTGCGTGAATAGATCAATCACAATCAAATGTCTGACACTCTGCTAGGTTTGTGGTTGGGACCAGATTGAGGCGGTGATTTGCTGCCGGCTGCCTGGATTCGCTGGATCCTGCTGACCTGGTCAACCCGCAGCGCTAGCGAGGTTGAGGCTGGGCTCCAGGCGGAGATGCTTGCTATAGGAATTGGGAATCGGGAATTGCAGCACGGCTATGCACTGGGCCACCTCAGCACAAAACTCCCTGATGGTTGCATCAATACTTGTCTACAGGTGGGTCTGTTTCTGGGCGGGCTGCCTGGTGGTCTGGGCCTCGGTCAACAGTGAGTTCACTGTAGTGACTGCTCCTTTTGGCAGCCCGAGGCGGGGGGTTCGTCCCATATCACTGATGGCTGGCTTCCATCTCGCATCCGCCCGCCGCGTTCCACCCGCCATTACCATCCGCCATTACCCGCCTGTCTGCGAGGGCCCTAGGGCGCGTGCGACAAGGGAGCCTCGACGGCAGAGACTCGGTTGCTAATGCAGGGGCTCATCATTTCAATGTACAGCCTCAGGCGACATTGAGATGCTGATATCATGTGGGGTCGTCTTGCTTTGTATTGGATGCTACATGATCACACAACCGTCAGTGCTTGTGTAAGATGCTCCAGCCACGCGTGCCGTCGTCATTCCTTTTCTTCGTTGCGTTCTTCTGCCTTTTTAACTGACATATTGGAGTTTTCCATCATGGTCAGCAACCCGTCATTTGCCAAAGTTCTGCATCGCCACCTACCAGATCCTTTCCTTGCACTCACAATGTGGCACCAGTGTGGCACCAAAGAAAGGCGCCGTCACCCAAGCTATACTAGTCTCTAACATACACAGTACAACATTATACACTGATATGTCAAGAATAAATGCCCATCTCACTGATGATTCTAAATCTCAAAATAAAAGGCCAGACGCCTGGGGAATCTGCAGCCAAGGTCCTCGCGTAGTCTCTTGAGGCTCCCAACACTACTCAACGAAGCCATTTGCTATAGGCCCAGCGGATCCTATCAAGTGCCCGAATCTGCGCCGTAACCCCCTTGACGTTTGCCACGTCGTCGAGGTCCTCGAGGAACTCCTTCTCGATGTCGGCTGGCATCATGCCGCGGACGAGCTTGCGGAGCATGTGAACCTCGCAAACCATCAGGCCGTATTCCTTGTACGAGAGCAGGTTGTCGTTGGACGGGTTCATGGCCGCCTCGGCGAGGATGCGGTCCATTTTGCGCAGGACCCGCATCGCCTTGACCGCGCGCTCGCTCCGCCTCAGCCCGCGCCGCCCGCCCATGAGCGTGCGCAGGTACTGGAACACGGCCACCGACACGAGCACGCCGGGCGTGAGGCCAACGAACCCAAACACCAGCTCCTGGCTCTTGAGGAGCGCGTCGATGCCGCTAATGGCTGTCTCGAGGTCCACCTTTGTCTTCTGCACCTGGATCAGGAGAGACCTGACCAGGTCGCCCCGCACCGCCCCGATAAGCGGTTTCTTCAGCTCCTTTTCGTAGGCCCGCAGCACCGTCGTCACGTCGCCCTCGCGCACCTTGGCCCTGATCTCGGCGACCTGCCCATCCGTCAGCGCCGAGCTGCCCTCCCCGACCGCGAGCTCGGGCCGCTCGAGCGCGAACTCCACCACCATCCGCTCCAGGCTCTCCCGGTCTGCCCGCAGGCTGTCACGGCTCATTATAGCGATCTCGCTGCTGTTGTCGTGCCGGATGGTGCCGATGATCTTGCGGACAGGCTCCACCACCCAGTTGAACCAAAAGTCTGTTGTTGTTGTGCCCAGATCCGCTGCCCACTGCAGGATATCATGCTGCCTCCTGACGAGAATGCGCAATATGGTTGATGACGAGAGCAGGAGCATAGTCGCCGGCAGCCAATATCTCACGGCCCTGGAAGGTCGTCCGTTCTGCTGCACGATCTGGCTGGTGGCAGCCACGTGGTCCGGCAGGCTGGTGTCCAGGATGGCCATGAGGCGCCGGGCGAGCACCGAGGGCTTGTGAATCCCAGCCACGTCCTGGGCGTGGATCGAGAGCTCCGGGTCCATCTCGATACCCCGGAACACACGATTCTCGAGCTCGGTTGTGCCCGCCTCGGCGACAAGCACCTCCTTGACGACGAGGTTCATGAGTACCACGCTGCGCTCGACGAAGCCCCGCCACTCACGGTTGGTGTTCTCGGTCGAGTTGATAGCCCCCTTGGCTTCGTCCTCGGCCCCAAAGCTCAGCGCCTCGTCGATCAGGACACCGAGACCGCAGGCCATCATATCCCGCAGCCGTTTGAGCTGGCTCTGCTTCTGCTTGGCCTGGGCGCGACAGAGCGATATCGGAGATAGGATGCTCCGTTGCACGTTGGACAGCGACCGCTCGGTGATGCTCTCACGCACGACGCCGTAGAAGCGCGCCCAGCGGGCCGACGTCGAAGTCTGTGGACCGCCGGCCTCGAAAATGGCCATCGGGGAGCGCTGCATGCGGCGAAGCCGGATTTTGCTCTCGCTGGCCACATCCTTCGTCCAGTCCCAGAGGCGCACCGGCGAGGTCTGGACGGTGTAGAGGCTACTATAGGTGTATGAACTGAGCACCTCGTCCCAATACCAAATGTCGTTGCTCAGAGGGATGATCTGATCAAGAAGCGTGTTGAACATGAGTCCATAGACCTGGAGCGTGGCTTTGCTGATCAGCAGCCAGTCGATCTCCGTCTCTTGCGGGCTCTTGGCCTGGAACTCGTCCAGGCCGGCATCTGTATGCACCAGGCCGGACTGGAGGATGAGGCTCCGAATTCTGTCTGCGTCCAGGAGACTATGCGACGTTGCGGTCGACGAGAGCGCTTTCACGATCCGCAGAGACTCGGCGACTCGAGGCGACGACAGCACGGCGGCATTGAAGGGGGTGGCATGGCTGCCCTCGCCCTCTCCCGCCTCTTGATCACCATCCGCAAATGTCTCTAGGTCCTGGTCCCGTTCATGGACCGCCTGCGGTGCAAGGCAAATGCGGTCTATCTGGCTATCAAGGCGACGCACACGACTGGAGGAACACCAGGGTCAGTCGTCATTCATGTCATCATCCCTACTCTCATTTCCCACACTCACTCCTCGACGAAAGACATGACTGTCCAGATCGCTTTAGCGGGGCGCCCCAAGTTTGCGTAAATGCATTACTCTTTTTTTCCACTCGTGTTCGGGATCGTGTTCGCGATCGTTCTGTGAAAACCGGGGGTAGCTCGGCGAAAGACGTGTGTCTGGTGGCGAGGAGAAACCCCTGGAATTATTGGCACTAGCTTGTGCCCTCTGGAAGGTGGCACGGTGGCAAACCGAGTGAATAAAAAGGAGGAACCGCAGGCTCTTTTTGTTTGATTGATGACAAGAGGATGAACTGTGGGAGACTCAAGAAAATGGCGTGTGGGCTCGCTGGTGGATTGTGTGTTTGTGGTTCCCAGCTGCCACCTTTTTCACGCGGGGCTATTTTCTTGCGTTTTTATCTCGTCACTTTCGCGTCTTCTTCGTGTCGTCTGCTCCTTCCTGTACCTATGAGCAACGGAGGAAAATGAGCACCGAGAAATGAGGAACGAGACCCAAAAATCCCCAACCTACCATATGGGACCGAATGAGGTAGCGAAAACTGTTGGAATGCCCAGGCTGAACGCTTTGGAACCGACAAGTCATGACAAAGGCGGGGGCTACAGAAGTCGTAAATGCAAGTTTCTCAGGAGAGCTGGATCAGGAAGGTGGGCTACAAAGGTGGCACTTCTCTGTCTGCTATTGCCAACCGACAGTGAGCAGACGAGGAGGGGGCATTTCAGTGCAACCTGGAAGTGCGCAAGAGAAATCCCAAGCGAAGAGCTGCACTTTGGCATAGGGCTCGATCACAAGATGTTGCCTCTGTCCGGTTCTGGTCACGATCGACGCCTGCTTACATGATATGGGCAACGGGCAACCTGAAGATTGGCATGAGCTCAGTGGCGCAAATATTCCTGTATCCGAACACATTTCCGGTATCTCCCTCGTGCTTGGCAGCTGTCCAGGAGGAGCCACATGCCAGTTGATCTGATAAAAGCATGTGCGCATTCGCTCATGATCCATTGTTCATCGCCCTGACGCGTGCGCCACAGCCAAACGGGCAAAGCCGCGCCAGACCTGGTGGGACGGAAAGTGTGGAAGGGACAGGCTGCAGGTGGTGCCAATGCCATGATCAGTGGGCCTGCAGCCGCCAACGGGCCCTCCCCATTGGTGGCTCGGTCGGCTTCTGATCGAGAATGCGCAAATGTGGTGCCATCCGGATGGGCCTTTTCCGTTTCCCAGGGTCGCGGTAGATTGCATTGGCCCGTCAAAATAAAAACCAGCCCTCCTTGATTGCTTGCTCCCTTGGGCCCTTGTCACCGCCTAGATGCCCCTTTTCCTCGTCATTGCCTCGACGGCGCCTCTCTTTTCCATCTCGTTTTCTTCCCTCCGCCTCTGGATTAGTCGACTGCTGCTGTCAAAGGAGTAAACCGACCCGACTTCACCTGATTGCTTCCTCCCTTCACAGAACCTGCCGCACGGCCGTTGGAGAAGATGTCTGGCGCCGCCGCCATGGACGCCATGTACGTGTTCCCTCGCCGGAGTCGGGCCGCTCGGGGAGCTGCTCCGGCGGTTTCTACGAAACCCATATACTGACTGCAAAACCCAATTCGGCATCTACAGAAAGAATGCGACCCTCGCATCGGGAATTCTGAACGGGACTACCGATTACTTCTCCGTCTACGAGGAGGTCACCAAGAACTATGTTGCTCTCAGTGCCGTCGAGCGCCTCTGGGCGGTATGTTCTACGTCTCCCTCCACGTTTGCGGCATCAGGCAGGACATGTTTGAGCTGACCAGGCTCGTTTGCGCTCTATACAGGCATGGTATCTCTGGATGCAGAACGACACGCTGGCGACGGGCATCATGAGCTTTGTGATGCACGAGGTCGTCTACTTCGGCCGCTCGCTCCCCTGGATCTTTGTCGACGCGATCCCCTACTTCAACCGCTGGAAGATCCAGAACCAGAAGGTGCCCACAGCGAAGGAGCAGTGGGACTGCACCATGTTGGTCCTGTTTGGCCACTTCACCGTCGAGCTGCCCCAGATCTGGGTCTTCCACCCCCTCGCGACCTACTTCGGCCTCGAATACGGCGTCCCCTTCCCCTCGGTCTGGACCATGGCCATGCAGATCGCAATCTTCTTCGTCATCGAGGACGCATGGCACTACTGGTTCCACAGGGCGCTGCACTACGGGCCCCTGTACAAGAACATCCACAAGCTGCACCACACCTACTCCGCGCCCTTTGGTCTCGCCGCCGAATACGCATCTCCTATCGAGACGATGCTCCTCGGATTCGGAGTCGTCGGAACGCCCATAATCTGGGTTTCCATCACCGGTGACCTTCACCTCTTTACCATGTACATGTGGATCGTGTTCCGTCTGTTCCAGGCCATCGACGCTCACAGCGGATACGACTTCCCATGGAGTCTGCGCAAGATCCTTCCATTCTGGGCCGGCGCCGACCACCACGATCTGCACCACGAGCGCTTTATCGGCAACTACGCCTCGAGCTTCAGGTGGTGGGATTACGCCCTCGACACCGAGGCCGGCGAGGATGCCGTGCGGGCGAGGCGTGAGAAGAAGCTGGCGAAGCTCAAGGCCAAGAAGGCCCAATAAACTGGCTTCATTCCTGGCAGGGCATACTGGGTTCAGCACCACCCTTATGTTTTGAGTTTTTTTTCCATACGAACATACCTCAAGTCACGATCTAATGAGGAAGAGAAGTGTTTGAAAATTATGGCAGGGAGTCTGCCTGTTTGACAGCTCCTCCCCCTTGTTGTGGTTCCATAGAAGGTCCGGTTGGTTGGATGATGGAGGCGTACGGTGGTCTCCGCGAGGAGGTCAAATCCATTCAAAGTGCATAATTGGCCACCTCGGCGGCCTCGGTATGGCCGAGATTAATAAGAATCTTATAATACAGACCAGAAGAGACACCTATCTTACGATGACGGATGAGACAGCATTGGTGATGGAACATTGATCCGGTCCGAAATCATTTCTTGGGCCCGCAGCAGTTCCCAGAGCTCGTCGCGGCTGTGGACGCCAGGTCTTGAAGGTTGCAACTCGCCGATTTCGGCGGCGACTCCTCCTGCTGCTGCTCGCCAAACTGGCGAGCCAGTTCATCGCATTTGGCGGCCAGCTCGACGTCCAGCGCTGACAAACCCTTGGGGTTATGGGTGGTCCAGCGGATGAATGTCGTGTTATACACCTATGAAGGCGAGCAATGGCACGAGCATGAGCGGTGAGACCGGTTGACCGATGCTTTGGTCAGCCGGGTATAACAAAAAAAAAGTAGCCATGCTCCGCCAAAACACAAGAGGATGGAGCACATGTGGCGGTGACATGTCCACGAAAGGGGGGCGTGCGTGCACAAGAAGAGGAGTTGATGCCGTGGTCCAATGGGCCCCTCGGCGAACCGAACGAAAAACTTACGTTTGACCACTCGGGATGGTGATTTCGGATCTTGCACTGCAGCGACACCGCCGTCATGAAGTCCTGTTGGAAGCAGTGGCGGTGGCGGGCGTACAGTCAGTAATCCGGGCGGGCAGGCAATATATATGGTTGGTATATATATAACGCGGTATATGGTAAGACCCGTGGTCACACACGGCCGGGGTGACGCCTGTCGGGTGGTGGTGCTAGACGACGACGGTCACGCTTCTGCGTCCCGTTGCCACGTCGCCTTGCCGCCTCGCATGCGCGCTGCCGTGGCGTCATCCTTGGGGCATTTTTGTTTTGTTTGGGTAAGTTGTAGGCATGTAGGACAATGTCGAGCCATGATGAGTCAGGGACTCGGGAAGTTTTCCATGTGTTTGTTTTCGCGATGGCGTGAGACTCGAATATGGCACTTGCATTCAAATCACTAGCAAAAGAAAACAAGGGCTCACCCAGGTCTTGGCAAACGTCTTGAACCTGAAGCTCCGCTCCAGGCCCCCGCCGTCGACCGTCAGCGTCCAGCGGCCGCCGGGGCCGGGGGCGGGGAGGACGAGGACGAGGACGAGGGGGCGAGCAAGGGCGCCAGGGCGGCGTCGAGCTGCGCGGCGTCGGACCCGGGCGAGTATGTGGGGCGGGGCTTGTCCATGGCAGCGGCGGTCGAATACCGGAAACGCGCGGGCGGCAGTAGTCGCCGTGCTGCTGCTGGGCGTGCGATTCTCGCTGCCGTGGCGTGGAGGCGGGCGGTTCTTGGCGCGGGTAGACGGGGCGGCATTTGATGCTTTGGTGAGTGTGACTGGCTGTCGATACTTTCAACATCACGTCTGATCTCGTACCGGGGCGGCTGTGGGCATCAAAGCCCGTTGACAGCACGCGGCTCACCCGCCGGCTCCACTCTCCGCCCATCAATGTCGTCTGGCGGTATTGACAGGCAGCCCTTATCCGTCAAATCGTCTGACCCAGACTCAGCAGCCTCCAATGATTGGTTCTATGGTAAAAAGAAGTAATCCCTCGACAAACAACGCCCTCGCCGCGGCCCGCCGGACCCTTTCTATAGGCGCTCGGAGAATCAATACCTGCCTCTTCGTTCTCGAACACATTTGGATTATGGACTGGGCTCGTAAACCAGCCCCAATCAGCCAACCCTCCTCGGGCTTTTCCTGGTGCCCACAGCCACCTGGCCCGAATCCCGCGTGAATTACAGCGTGAGTGTTTCTCCCCTCGGGCTCATTCTGACCGCCTAGACAGGTAGGAGGTGGGAGTGTAGTGGGTGTAAGTATAGATCCCGAAGTCTTTCTTGCCCATTTTTTTATTTTTATTTTTATTTTTACCAAAAGATGTCCTCTTAGCTTGAAATCAATGTCATTTGCCTAGACGTTCCTGTTCCCATTCCGTCCCTTTTACTATTTTCATCTTATTCCTGCTCCTGAGAGGGGCTGTCCCATGGCATTAGTAAATCTGATCCCTGGGACCACCGACCGAGCGCGCGCGCGCGGACTCCGGCCTTCGCTGTATTTGCGATCCTCGCATTTCTTTCTTGCGCTTCTCTGCGCGTAAACGCTCCAAGACGGGGCTTGCATACGACAGCGACATTGGTTTCCCGGAAGGGATATCAAGGACGAGCTGCGGGTGGAAATGCGCGTATACGTGGCATGCGTGCATGTCCTGCATGTCTTCTTTCCGCACCCCTTCCCCTCCTTCTTCCAACGGGTGTTCTTCGAGAGGGTCATGCGTGAACCCATCCTGCTTGCTGACCTCGGGTCCCGCCGGGCCTTGCCCGCGGGTGTGGGGATTGGGTACCCTCACTGTCAGGGGCTCGTGGCATGTGTGGGCAGTTGTTCACGTACCTCATACTGCGATGACAAGGTAATGGATGTGTGATTCTCTGGTTCGCCGTCTGTCTTCTTTTCCAAATACCAGCCGGCTGATTATGTGTGTTCAGCTGCGAGATGCAGCTGGGTCTCAAGCCTTGCTCGCTTCGCTTCGTCTTTTGCTGACGTTGGCGGGCGTTCATGAAGGATTCTCCCCACGGCACTAGCGAGGGTCAGATGTGATCCCGGCTTATCCTCGAAGATGCCCTTTCGGCATGATCTAGCTACGACGCTCTACCGTTTGGGACCCGAGTCGCCGCATGCTCACGAGTTCGATTTCATGCTCGGTGATCTAATCATGGGGCGCGCGGCTCAGTCGAGCTTGAAGAGTTTCGATGAAGCCACCACTGGTGCTGACGGATTCATCTTAGAGGGAGCGATTCGGCGCCCGGACCGAAGGTAATGAGCAATCAAAGGCCGCGGTGGGAGAGCGAGCGATGCTAGGTTGAGAAGTATCAGAGCGAGGTGTGGTGTCCCGATGTTTCCACCAGAAGCCCGGAGACATGGCTGGGCACTGGTGTTGAGGCACCTGCTAGTCTATGCGAAGACTTAGCTTCTGGTCAAGGGCTAGAAAGACCACTGCCGCGCCAGGGACTCAGTCGCGATCACTCATGGGAGAAGGGATCGCTTGTGGGTCATTAGATACAGACAGAACAGCTTTATGTTCAAGACAGATCATTGATGAAAGTGAATGGATTCAGCCGCAGTTCCAAACAGTTACCCTCTCCGACCCGCGATATCTCACCCCTGTCAACTCCTCGCAAGATTTCCAGGGGACCAGCGATGCTGTCGGCGAGTCGGCGAGCCGGCGAGGCCGCAAAGCCCCGTGACTTCCCCACATCGTTACAATGGACGAAAGTCCGGCAAGTATGCTACTGATCCGCGAAATCCAATGCCATCAACCGTAGATGGGTTTCCGCCGTCCTGGTGTAGGGCGGGGGCGATGTTTACGATCAGCTATGGTCAGATACGACCCGATTTACGATCTTTTCCTTTGGACACCATAGATCCTTGAATCTTTGTCAGAGGGTGACCGTGGGTCTCCTGGCGGGCTCGATTATTTCTCATGACCTCCCAAAGGCTGGAGTTAGCCGTAGCCTGGCGAGTCCGCTAGTAGCGTTGATGAAAGATCAGACACCGAGAGGAGGGAGTAATCACAGACTCGTAACATGGCAGCATGCATCCGACACTTCTGCGCGCCAGGGAAGAATCAGCACGATAATTATATCGATCCCAGTTAGGAACCATCAAAGAACGAGCCTGGTGAGCATCTTCACAATGTGGCGTCTCCGAAGTTTCAGATCCCACCCACAGCCCGTTGCAAGATCCACAGCCACTCTTTCCCATCAAGGGCAGACCTGCTACCCATTCAGGTCATAACTCATGTGATCACTAATCGCAGGTGAGAAACCCATCGCCTTCTCGGTGTCTGACCTTGGTCGATGTGGTTGAGAAGCCAGCACCCGTGGAGAGAGATGTCTTCCTTGGCATGGATGGCAACCATGCTGCCAAGCTCCGAATCCATGATGGCTCTCTTCTGTAGGGCGTAGGTCCGGGGTGTCGCCGCGCAGGAGCCATAAGCGGGCAGGAGCAGGTCACACTCCCTTGCTGTGTGCTGCCAACAAAAGTGAAAGGGGTGCATCAAGGACGTTGCTGGGGTCGGCCACAGCCGTGAATGGAAGGAGCGTATGAGGTGCTGGAGCCTGTTCCCGGGCTTTGGGCACACCAGCCAAGCAAGAAACGTAGCTGCCTGCGGCCTGAATACTCACCGATGAGGCCGGACTGGCTCGTTCTCGGAGCGCCACCGCCATGGCCCCGGGTGCCAGGGCCACCGTACCGGCCAGGGGGTGATATGAGTTGTTCCACACTCATCGCCGACGCGGTGCCACCGGATGCTTTTTTTGGACGGGAGAAGAAGGCATGTGGCTGTAGGTACACTCTACTGACTGTGGCCACACGTGCCGATGTAATAACGGGACTGTGTGCGTCCAAATAAATGGGCGAGCCCTGGCGGCAGCAGCCGCTATCTGAATGGCTGGCGGATCAGTCTTGAGGATTTTTTTTAGGGGCGTTTAACACGTTACATGGCTACCTGGAGAACAGCCGCCAGGCAGGATGCGTGGCGGCTGACCCCTGAGCGCCGTTGCGTCCCCCCTCACATCAAGCCGTCTAAAGCGGATATGAGGCTTGCTGACGGCATATGCGGACTGCCTTCCATGTCTCGGGCGCACACAAGTCAGGCCTATACTGGCTTGGAGATGGCAAGTGTACAAGGGCTGCCTCGCGCAGATGTTCTATGTGATGGGTCTCCTGGGAACTTTGCGAATCCAAGTAGAACTGGCATTATGTGGCGGCTTGGATCCCGCCATCGCAAAAGGGATGGGGCGTTAGCGACGGGGACGGACGATCGCTGCACCTCGGAACACCATCCTCCCCTCCACCCTCCATATCAGGACACACCCACGGGGTATATCCGGGCAGCACGAGTGAGGTGATGAGGGCTAGCGGGTGGGCTGGGCATGTGTTACGCTGTGATATACATAGCCACATGCGAGGCTGTGGAGGCCCAAGGGAGGTGCCGGGATGGTCACACTGGGGAGGAGTATCGTCAGGCAGCAATAAGAAAACGGACTGCGGTAACGTTATATGTTTCCCAACTGTTTTCGATTGATTCGACACACGCTCGTGGCTGCAGATAGTGTGTGTGTCCCGTTGGAGGATCCCACATGATGGCACAGGGGCACGGCCTCAACAGCCCACAGCCTCGATAAGCTACTTACTCCTTTCGCTAGCCGCCGCTCGGGTTGGTAAGATAGATGGCAAGCGCGTAGGAGATGGCGATGGTGGTACTGAGGATGGCGGTGGTGGTGGTGGCGTGGTGACGACGGAGAGGGAGGTATTCAGGAGACGAGAGGAGACGAGAGGGCATGTGTATTCTGCACTCCTCGAACCACCACCCGCGCGCTTCAAGTGAATTTCAATGATGGCAGCCCCTGCGCCTATGTGCGCGCATACCCCATGCCGAGACACAACCCTGGGTTGTAGTTAATCTGCCCTCGAGCTGCAGTCAGCACGCTACCTGGGCGGCTGTTTGACCGGGCGACTCTGGAGCGCCAGATTTACGAGCCAAGGCCCATCAACCCCCCGTCGGCCGACACCCTTGGCGTCTTCTTGCATGTTCCGCCTCAAACCAGCTGCCAGATTCAGTATAACCCCAGCCACGTCCTGAGGATGGCAGAGTCGTCGGCAGTTGGAAGGTCCAACCCATACAAGGGAATCGCCACGCTTCGGGCCCATGGCACAGCCCGACGGCGATGGGCAACAATAACAACAAGGGCGTCTGCGTGCGCATGAGCCAAATATGGCAACGACCGGACGGGGAGCAGCATGCGCATGCGCGACGCTGTGGGCTGTACGGAGCGACAGACGATTACTGCTCGTCGCTCTCGCGTTTTGTGCCCGACACGGTGCGGGGATTCGGTCGACCCAGAACGGACCAGACTGCACAGAGCACATATGTAGAGGCCCCACCGGCTTGGCTGACAAATGCGCAGGCCAAGGTTTTGGCGGACGCCTGCATCGGCCGACTACCTAAACAGAACCTACACCAAAAAGTCGCGACGGTTGATTCGGCCGGTTGGAGGGACGCCGCGTGCTCGACATTGGCGCGTTGCGTTGCAGCGAGCATTAGGTCATGGGTGTATATGTGGTCAGGCCGTATACAGTGTCTGGGCTCGGGAGAAGCTGGGGGATATCATGCTTCCTCCGCGATTGCCATCATGGATGCGCCAGAAGCGGAAAATGCCCAGACTCGGCAGGTAATCACTGTAACTCCACGCCCGTGTGCAAGACGCGTGGTTACCTAATCGATTTGCACCGACGGGAGAATAGCCCCGGCCCCAGCCACAGTCTTTTACTGCGGTACTTTTTTTTATCTTTTTTTTTTTTATCTTGGCTGGCTTCAATTTGTTCGGGATCCTTCGGTGGGGCTTGGGCAGTAAGTGAATGATGATGTTTGCCTCGGTGGTCGGAGGGTGTATTGGACTCGGACCTGGGTGGCCCCGTCATCGTCTGGAATCCTGAGCATCAATCCTGGCATTGCGTGACCCGCCAAATGCTTTGTCACCAGCTGCCGAACCGATCCATATCTGTGAGGTCCTTGCATCCGCCGGCAGCGACGGAGCAACCTAGTGATGCCATCCTGGACACGCCAAGCAGTGAATTGTATTTATTCGGCCTGCAGGCGAGGCGATGTACCTAATAGAAAAAAACCCCCAGAAAAAAATTAAAAATTTGATAGCTGGAGGGAAATGTACCTTTCCGTCGGCAAGTGGGTCAAAGTTGGCCCAACTGGGGTTGGGACCACTCAATGTGGGCTGGTCTCCTGTCTGGAGCTGAATCAAAAGTCACACGATACCGTGTTTCCATAGTCCTGGTCCTGTTTTCTGCCCCAACCCAAAACCGCCGCGCCATTGCCCATCAAAACCAACGAATAGAGCAAAGCAAAAATCCGCCCTGGGGTCTATCGGGCACTTTGTCATCACCAGTCACGAGGCGCCCTGTTTGTATTGTATCTCTTCCCTCTTTTGTGACCCGGGTTGATTGCCTTGCCCGTCTCCTGCCGGCCTGGCGCGTGCCAGCAAAGGCCGCACTGCAACGCAACGTGTGTAATCCGTGCGACACGGTCCTTGTCTCAGCGTCTGTCTGGTCCAGCCCGCGCCCGCGCTGCCTCTTGCGAGCGTGCGCGTGGGTGTCACTGCCCGGTCACTGGCCGCCCGGCAATAACCTGACCTCGACGTTTCTCCCACTCGATCTCAATTACGGCAGCAGACCACCCCCCGACCAGAAAAATAAAACCAAAACGCGCCTGCTGGCCACCCACCCAGCTCGACCATCGACAACCCCGTGCATGCTGAGTCAGAAGGCAAAAAAACATGGCCGCGATGCAGGGCACTACCACCACCACTGCCACCAGCGGCAGCTCCAACATCGGTACGTTGGCCATTTTCCATGTCCATTGCGCCTGTCCTTCACCTTACTTGACCTGCCTTTTGCACATGTCGTGCCGCCCTTTACCTGTCACGCGGTCCGCGCCTCCATCCCGCCTGCCGCCCGCCGGGACTTGCTTCGCCGAGCAGCGTCATGTCATCAAACATCGCCAGCCATGATAGGCGCCTGTCTCTGCTTTGTCACCTTGCGGGGCAATGCCTCTCTGGGCGCCGCAATCCCGCCAGCCTAGCCTGCCTCGGTCATACCCGGAAACAGCTGTCTGCTTGACTCCGACCAGCGCCAGAGGCATCGATCGACAGCAACCGCGGCAGCAGCGTCGCCGTCTGTTTGCCCGCAAGCATGCTCTTCCTGTCGGGCCGGGTCGTGGCCTGCCAGTTGCATGGTGGGGGTGTGCTGCCTGGGCTCAGTCAGGCCTGACCTGCCTGTTAGTTTGCTCCTCGCTGTGGCCTCAGCGGACGGTGGTGACTTTTGCACTGGCAAGCTGCCGGGAGCATCGCCTGCTAGCCCTTGACACAGGATACCGCGCCCCAGGCACCTCCCATTGCCCTCTTTGCCAACCCGCCTGCTTCTCTGCCTTTTATCCACAAGTATGGTTCTTCAGGCGCCAGCGATGTGGGAGTCAGCCTCCTGCTGCGCTGCGCATGACAAGCTATAGGCGGATGAGCCCTCAAAGACGGACAGACACCCACAGGCTACTAGTGGTAGCAGCATGCTTTGCTCTGGTAATCTTGGCGAAACCGCCAATCGTCCTTCTTCATCCTCAAGCTCAACCTTCCCCTCACCTCCTGTGCGTACTCCAGGGCTAAGTGTGATGGCTGCCATCTCTGACTGTGCGCCCTTTTTCGCCGTTGCATCCTCCCATCGAAACCCACGCCTGTGCTGGCAGCCAAAGGGAAAGAAGTCGCCGGGAGCCAGACGTCAGCGCCAGGCAGAGGGAGAGAGCAATGCCCAGCGCACACACCCACCACCACCACACACCACCTCGGGCTCGCACTCACACGCCCCGGCAACCCGATCTTGATACCCCTGTCTCGTCACCCTCAACCCACAAACCTTCACCCCCCGTTGAATCCCCTTCTTACATAATAGTACTTCCGCGGTGCCGGCATCTCATCGCGAGCTTGCTCGTACTTCGCTGTACCTCCCTCCTGCTCACCTAATTATATCTCGCCCGCTTCGCCCTCCCACCCTCCCCACTAGGTGGCCCTTCCCTGTCCCCTAGACCAGTGGACATCGCGCCCACGATCACCCTCCCGCAGCATTACTAAGTCAACGTTACCTCCACACCTAATCCGCCCTTCACCTTGGGCGCTTTCCCGGTCAAGCCAAGCGCAGAGAGACGCGCCCGCTCTCACACACATTCTCTCTATCTCCCTCTCTGGCGCCATCGCGCTACGCCCAAGTGTCGCACAAGGCTCTCAGTCTACGAGGCCCCTATTGGACGTCTTGTTGCCCGGCCCATCCGCTGCAGGCCCGTTATACTACGCTACCTACATGTTCCATGTTCACTCCCGACCCGACGCTCCATAGACTTACACCCCCGAACGTACGACCCCTCTATCTGATTCGTCATGCCCGGCCACACGGCCCCGACCCTGTCAGAAGCCTCGCTTGGTCAAGCCGCACTCCCGCCCTATAAACAACAAAATCAAAAGCTCCAACCCACTTTCAGCGTTTGCTGCTGCGCGAGCTCCCTCTCCCCTTATCACCTTGGTTGTCGGCATGTTCACGCATGATTACACCACGGCCTGCATTTTCACTCTGCCTCACTTCCCCGCATCTAGTTTTTGCGACTCCGTCTTTGTCATCGTGACGCGCGTGCCCTCAAACGGCATCTCTGCTTGCTTGTCATACTGCCGGTCGGTCGTCTGGGAGTTTGGCATCGCTGACATGAACCCCTCGCCCCTGCAGAGCTGGCCACTCGAGAGCAGCTCGCCGAAGCGCCGATATTAAAAGAGGAAGTGGCCGCAGCTCCGGTCACAAACGGCGTCCCCCAGGACTCGCAGCCAGACCAGCTACAGACGACGCATGGATACAGTTCGTTTCCCGTCATTGCGCCCAACGTCCATACCAACCAGTCGGACGCGCACATCCACCCAGACCTAAGGTCTCCGGCACGATACATGGCGACGGCCAACATGATGCCGGCTGTCGCGCCCCAACCAGCGGCCGGCGCTCCGGCGCCCATGTCTGGGCACCCGATCTCGCCGCCGCAGGCACCTGGTGCGCAACAGCTACTACCAGGCCCCCCTCCTCCTGAGTTTGGCGAACTGACGCCCGATGCCCGGAAAGCTAAGCGCGAGTTGTCGCAATCAAAGCGCGCCGCCCAGAACAGAGCTGCACAGGTGAGCGAGGCCGTCCCACACCTTGTTCTCGTTTCGTGTTGGCAAAGCGCTGGTTTCGGGGGCCACTATATTCTCTTGCCACCGTGGTTCGTCTAAACGCCCAAGGTTCACTGTCGGTCGGGATGGAGTGTCCGCCCGACTGTTTTGCCGGCTGCCGGCCAAATCGCTCGATACATATCGTCCCCAGCTTGGGTCACCTTGCTTGAAACCGTCCGGTCGTTGGGCTATCCGATGTCTCGTCCACTACGTGATGCTTTCCGTAACTTGGCGTGCACTGTGCTAACCAGAGCTGTGCTGCCCGGCTGCAGAGGGCTTTCAGGCAACGCAAGGAAGGCTACATCAAGAAGCTTGAGCAGCAGGTTAGGGACTATACGGAAATGGACAACAGTCTCAAGACGCTCCAATCGGAGAATTACCACCTGAGGGAATACGTCATGCAACTGCAGACGCGGCTCCTGAACACCCAAGGGGAGTACCCCCAACCCCCGCCGGGACTCAGTCTCGGGCACCCCCACGGCGGCGCACCCGCAATGCAATCCCCTGGCCCGCTACCTGCGCCCCAGATGACGGCACCACCCGCGTGCCAGGAGCCTGTGGCCCCCGTTCCCGGTGCGGGCACTCCATTGGAGCAGGTCGCCCAGGCCGTCGCGAACCTCGGTCGAGCCGAACACAACACCGCAGATTCCTCGGCAACATCCCCATTCGTCGATAAGGCATTCAAGCCTATTCCAATGGACGAGGATGCGCGCACCGCCGATGAAATAACACGCCAGTTGCACGACGGGCTGCCTGCTACGGATATGTAGGCCATTCCGTCCATTTGCTCGTCTCCCTTCTGGAGAGTTAATCCTTGACAAAAATTCTTGGGCGTTTTCTTTTCCTCTTCTTTTCGCGGGGACGGAGTTTCGGTTTTTCTCGATATCACCAACTCGAACAAGAGAAGCACCGAGGTCGGTCGGTCGGTCGGTCTAAAGGAGTCCTGGTTATACAATGTAGCTACCTATTCACATCTGCGATCTAGTTCGCTTCGATTCTCAGCAATGCCTTTCAGGGGCAGATATACGCACACTTGGTTGTTTTAACCCATTATTTTTTTCACTTGTTATTCTTATCGGTTAATTTCTTTTTGGTTTCGTTTTTGCTGTCTACCAGCGGTTTGGAGCGTCAGTTGATGGGTCGTTGGTGTTATTCTCCGTCAAGACGACTCTTTCTCATGTTGCTGACCACCTAGGGAAAAATGGCCAGTTTCGGGACATCTAGCAGGTAGGAGGACTCCGGGCTGTGTAGGTAACCGGGTATGACATTGGGACTGGCTTGCACATGGTACATACTTTACACATCATTCGCTAGCATTTACAAGCGCAGACATGATATTACGCCTTCGTTGCCCATGAGCAACGGGGGTCACAGCATGTCAAACAGCGGCTCCAGATGTGTTTATGAACCGCGACCTTAAATAAAGAAAAAAAAAGTCATAATTTCCCATCCCACCACGCGTTTACAAATGGTATACAAACAAGGGGGCTCCTTCCCATAATTCATCATTTGGGTCTATAGAAAAGAAAAAAAGTCCACGAAGAAAAAGAACAGCTAGAAAACAAGACTGTTGGAGATGGGGAAACATGTGGGCCGGTATTCTTAAGCTTCCTTGCTAGTGCTTCCAGCCTTGTCTGACAAGTCTACACAAACGCGTTACCCATGCCGTGTTCCTAAAGCAGAAGAAGTTGGAAGATGTTAGCAAGAGGTTGGTTGGTTGGTGAAGTAAGTGGAGAGGGGGTTAGTTGCCAAAGACCGACCTTGATGTACTCGGCGCCGCGCTCCTGGTACTCCTCCCTCGTGACGCAGGCGGCCTTCCAGGCGTCGGACCCGGCCCAGCCGGCGGCGCCGCGCCAGGCGTCGAGCAGCGGGTCGGCGGCGCGACGGGTGGCGAGCGGGGCGCCGGCGGGCAGGAGGGCGCGGAGGCCGTCGGCGAGGCGGACGTCGAGGTTGCGGAGCAGGGTGAGGCCGCCGGTCAGGAAGACGTCGCGCAAAAAGGCGTCTGACGATGACGACGACGGCGACGGCGAGGACAGCAGGCCAGACAGGCGCTGGGTCAGGATGTCGCCGGCGATCTCGACGAGGCCGGCCTGGTCGAGCCCCGCGATGGCGGCGGGCTGGAACAGGACCTCGGGGACGCGGATGCGCTCGACGTTGAGGTGGACCTGGTGGCGCTCGGCGGGCGACTCGGGGTCAAAGGGCCTGGGCCCGCGCGAGAAGGCGTGCTCGAGGCGCTTGCTCCAGTCGTTCTGGGCCTCGCGCGTGTGCTCGTACGTAAAGGCCGGGTCGTGCAGCAGCAGCTCCTGCTCGAGCGCGGCGAGCTGCGCGTCCACGTTCTCCTCGCCATCCTCGTCGTCGCTCCCCCCCTCGTCCTTGTTGACGGCGATGTGGCGGTAGACGCCCCAGTCGTTGTCGTCGGCGCCAAAGTCGTCGTCGTCGCCGCCGCGCCGCCGCTTGCGCGACGAGCCGCCAGCCCCGCCACCCGCGGGCGCGTCCGAGGCCAGGTTCGCGATGCTCTTCATGCGCATGACCGAGGCTAGCGTCTTGCGGTTGCCCATGTCCTTGGTCAGGTGCTCACGCTCCTTGATCTTGGCCAGCACCTCCTGGTGCGCCCGCCGCTTCTCGGCGAGCCAGCTCTCGAGGTCGTTGGTGCGCCGCTCCTCGTCCAGCCGCGCCTCCTCGGCCACGCGCGCCTTCTCGGCCTCCTTCTCGGCCTTTGCGCGCGCCCGCGCCTCGTGGTTGGACTTCATGAGCTTCTGCTGCCGCTTGGCCTTGATCCCCGCCTCGTCCAGCTGGTCGTCGGGCACGTCGAGGAGCGAGAAGTCGGGCTCCTCGACCGCCTCCTCCTCGGCCTCGCCGCCGAGGTCCTTGGTCCGCGCTTTGCGGATCGTCTTCTCTAGCTCCCGGATCGTCTTGTCGAGATGAGCCTCGTCCTTAACCTCGGCGTCGTCGAGTATGCGCTTCGTCTCCTTCTTGTTCTGGTCCACCAAGCTCGCCTGCGCCTTGCGGTAGTACTCGAGCTCCTGCTCCTTCTTGACGAGGCGCTCAAGCCGCATCTTGGCCGCCTGCTCCTGTAGCCTCCTTCCGCTCTCCTTTTTGCGCTCGGCGATGCGGGCCAGCTCCTCCTCCGACTTCTGGACCACAACCTCCTCGGTGAAGGGATACTGGATGATGCGCTCGCGGTCCTCGAGGCCTGTCCACTCGAGGCACGCGCTCAGCTCCTGATCGTAGTCGGTGGAGACGTAGCAGAAGTCGCGGAGCATGTGTTCGGTCTGGGACGAGTTGAGCTTGACGTTGCCCAGAAAGTCCCGGTACTTGAGCCTGATGAGCTTGAGCAGGTACTCGGACGCGTGCCAGCCGCCCCAGTTCAGGCGTGTGGCCTGGGACAGCAATGCGCGCTGGTTGTATACCGGGATGAGGTGGGTGGCGCTGTACGAGGACGAGACGACCAGGCCCGTGTTGCCTTTGTTGTGTCTATAGGAGAAGAGAGAGTCGATGCCGTAGGCTACCGATGGTGCGCCGTAGCACTCGAAGAGGATCTCGGTCATGGCTGTGCGGGCGTTGGTCAGTAAAGGTACGCCGTCTTGGCCCAGGGAGCATGCGCCTTCCTTCTCTACATGGTCGTACATTTACGTGAATATGGAAAATTCGCAACGGTTTCCGTCATTACGATGGGCCTGTCTATCGAGTCGCCCGTATCGTTGAGCCCCAGTTTGATAAAAATGTAATCGAGGACATGCTCCATGACATCCCAGTTGCTGATGATGCCGGTGCCGGCCTCGTACGCGTTCCTGATGTGGCCCTTTGCCGTCGTGTCCGAGTAGCAGTCCCAGCCGGCGAAGCTGAAGGTCTTGCCGAGCTTGCGGTCGCGGTACTTTGCCATTATCGGCGGCAGCACGAAGCGCGGGTCCCTGTCGAAGGACCAGCCGGCCCTGACGGCCGAGGACCCGCAGTCTATGACGATGGCCGGCCGCGGCGCGTCGGCCGCGGCGGCCATGGCGTTGGCGCGCTCGAGGCCGTCGGGCTGGGGCGGCTCGTACTTTTCGAACCTTGCCTCGCGGACTGTGTGGATGGTCGGCTCGGGGAGGCGCCGCCAGGCCTCCCGCAGCGGCGCATCGGCCATGGCGAGGTCGGGCCCGTCGAGGACCATGGGCGCCATCCTGGTCTCGGGCTTCGGAACGGAGGGAGGGTAGGGTCGGTCGCCTGCGTGGTCGGGAGGGGAGGGGCGGTCGATGTCACCGGGGAATTTGCTGGGTCATTGTTGAGTGAGAAGGCTCTGGGATTGTCGAGGATTGGGTCGGATTGCAAGGTTTGTAAATTCCAATTCCCGTGGGAACCAACGTTGGGTCGCCGACGGTGGTCATCAATCGACAATGGGGCGAAAACGGCAGGGAGCTGGAGCTTTACTGTGTAGAGACCCACCCCATTCAGAACATGCATGTCAATTGCGTGCGGCTGCGGGACATTTATCTGCTTCACCACCTTGCACAACAAACATCAATAAAATCAAACCATGTGCCCAATTACCCCAGAAATAAAGATGAGCTCCTGGACAATCTGTAGTCGACCAGTCTATGCCGGATCCTTGAGGTTGTCGGTTGCTATTGAGAGCAAGGCGATAGAGAGCATCAGCCACGGCACGGCTACGGCGAATACAGAAAGGAGCAGGTCAATAGGTACGCACCCTCAAGATGGAACAAGACGTTGGATCGGTAGTTCTTGAACATTTGAGCAACGAGCTCGACGTTCATGTTCTGGATGTTGATTTCCTGTCGAACGCGGGCGGAAGGGTTTGTTTAGCCCTTGAATTTCCCTACCAAGAAGTGCTCGGGTACCCTGATTGTAATATTACCATACCTGCAGAGATTTGTTCATCACAACGATGGCCTCGTTCAGTTTCTCCTAGAGAGAATTCAACGTTATGTCCTAGACACCGCTAGCTCTCCAGTCCAGACCATGTTCCTTACCACATTGGTAATTATGCGGGACAGCAGCAGGTTCTGCTGGTGTTCGTGGGGGCTCTCCTGTACGCTGGTTAGAACAAAGCAGTCATCATATTTTGCAATTTGCCACGTGGGTTGCCCTACTAACCATTATCGAGGTGTGGTGATCAACAAGTCCTCACTTTGTGTTCTCAAGGAAGGGAAAGGCCGAAACAGGGATTGTTGCTGTTGGTTTTGAAGCACGACCTACCATCAGAACGCGACGCGGGGACCCAGCAGTGACAGCTTGGGAACGGACGACAACCGGGCCCCACAACACTGGAGCCGCAAACTGGGGCCCTCATGTGTTTATATGGGGCCGATTTAAGCTCATGTTCAAAGGGCGGCGTTGGTCTCTCGCAAGGGTTTTCCCCCTCTGGACATACCCATTGGCCTGGGGTGAAACTCGTGAGTAAGTCGAGGCTGCGACTTTCGCCATCCATGAGTTGTAGCAGGGCCAAGCTTGTGCTGTTCTGCCAGGCCCGCACAAGCTTCTCTGCGTGGAGGGAGAAGCTCGTCTGTTTTTTCCGCGCTCACTCGTTTCTTCCCTCGCCAGACACCAACAGATCCTTCGCGAGGGTAGTGCCCTGTCCGATAAGCATCAAAGCATTGTCTTTTGTGTCGTCGAACGTGGTGCTCTTGGAAAAGGCTGGGAGTGATTTGAGGGCTCTGTTGAAGAAAGGCGCGGCACTTCCCAGGGCGCCCACGGTGATTATATCGATCATGACTTTCTCCCACTGGCTGGTCTTGGACTCGGGGATCGGCGCGAAGACATTCTCTATGCTTCTGAGGACCGTCTGTGAGCTTCCAATCATCGCGCCAAGACCCCTGTGATAGGAATGGTATGTGTTGTGCATATGCATGATGGACTGCCAGATAAGCATCGCCGCTGGCCCAGAGCCTGGCCCGTCAGCGGACTTTGGGCACTCGAAGGGGCCGTCGCACTTGTCGGATTCGCCCACGAGCAGATGGCAGCGAAAAAAAAGAGGGAAGAGATCTATCTGACAGGGGTGCAGCACGCGATGTCTAGGTATATTCCACCGATCCCGTGATCGGTGGGCGCAGCCGAGTCGCACTCGCGTGCTCCCCATCTGGCCTCCCTCCTTCAGTCTTGCACGCGCACGCTGACCGCTTCCAACAGTGTCTGGCTGACGAGGTAGGTAGCCGGCTCATCGAGTATTTTTTGGATTAAAATCCCGAAAGCTAACTACACAACCCAACAAACACGAGGAATGGGCAATGCACTAGGGAGCTGCCAAAATCATCGGATCAGGCGAGAAGAAAGCCGGTGGTACCAAGAGTTACTGCCACAAGCGTTGCGATGCCTGCGACAGCAAGCTGCCGAGAGGCGTGACCCTTTTTGGGGCAGTTGGTTGGCTTGTCCCCCAACACTTTGCCGATGCTGCATCGATGCTCGAGTATCACTGCCTCAATACTCTCGGCCGCGCTCTTATCGACCTTGGCATGGCAAGGGTTCGCAGTCGGCGTCGGGGAAGGAGGAGGGTCTACCACTGCACAAGTAGCATTCGCAAGTGATAAACCCCTGTAGTCCTTGGTGACTTTGTTGGTCTCGCCCGTCACGCTGATTGTGAACCCCTGGTCGGGGCATTCCTGGTGATTCGTAGTCGCGGCGACGAGGTCGGCCTTTTTGCCGCCCTTCTTCAGCTCAAATCTCACCACGAAATTAGAGGAACCGTTGACGGAATATCCTGTAAAGGCATCTGGGGTTCCCGGGAATATTTTCCCGCACTCAACCCAGCGCCCAGACCAGGCCAGGTGGACAGGCCTTTCAAAGTCGAGTTTCTTGTACGTCCAGAAAAACTGAAGATCGCTCCTGTTTTCCCCAAAGTCGGCTGGCCAGTGCCGAAAGCCGCCGGAGGTAATGTCAAGAAGGGTGCTGTTGTATTTGTCGGGTTTGGTGCCGTTGGGTTGGAAAAGCCTGTATTCGGGGGAGGGCTCGAGATACTTGGCAAGATTGTCGTTTTGGGATGCCCAGATAAAAGGAAACTAGTCGGAGGGCTCGTATATTTCGTTGGCGCGGGGGAAGACGAGGCCAACATCGAGAACACCGGCGGCCTTGGCCATGGCGGCCAAGTAGGCTGCCGTGCCCAGAAGGGGCCAGACAGCGTGGGAGGCCAGGGGCATGATATTGAACGGTTACCCTGTGGAGGGAGACTTGATGCGTTGATTGTTGTGTAGGTAGCTAGGTTTGACGGCTGAGGGCCGGTGGCCTTTGGCCTTGAAATGGCAGGGACCACGGGTGGGAATACGTGCTTACGCACGTGACCCTCTAGTCTTGGCTCGACTCCAACACATGATGGCGGAGTTGCTGGTCGTGACGGTGGTGGTGATAGTGGTGGTTGGTGGCGACGATGCCAATGGCGCTGTCGCGGGAAGAGACGTGTGAACAACGCAACATGAAGGCTCCCTCAAGCCGCGGAGTGAATCTCATGAACGATAACGGTTAATGGAAAGAGCCGGCAACGCGGCACCGTCTAGACCTTGGCAAATTGGCCCCTGTCCACAGTCACTCCCTACCTAGGCGGTAGGGATGTTCGGCATTTTCATCCGAGATTTTCCTCAAGCTGTCACATTGAAGCTGGTGGTGCTTGTTTAAACGCTGGCGTGCGGTTTAAGCTATGGGGCTCAATGCAGGACCCAACTGGATGGACCCTGTCCTTCCCCACTCCCCGCCAAGCTTTAGCTGACGCTTTGGCTTGGAACCAACAGCCCGGCCGTGCTTTCGCAACGGCCCGCTCCTGAGAGAGCGTTACACGGGGGAAATTCTTTACCGGGCGATAAATAAGTGCTGGCGCCCGCGGGACGAAGCAAAAATAAAAATAAATTGATGAAGAAGCATGAGAGAAATAAATGAGAAAAGGATTATAACAAAGAAGCCTATGTTTCTCATAGCCTGTTTAACTATATCCCTTTGAGGGCCGTTAGGTTCCTCGTCGAAAATCCGCGCCAGTAGGCTTAGCCAATCGATTTTTTTTTCAGGATAAAGTCTGCGATACCTTTCCTCTTCGGGAGGGGCTAGGCCCGGCGGTCCTCAATGGGATGCGATGCAACATTGGCTGTGATTTCCACACTTGGTACGACCCAGGGCGGACGGATACCAACCCTCGTTTCGCGAAACGGCATGGCCATGTAATCCTTATTTTACGGCCAGAACCTCCCGTCCGGTCGAGGCTGATGTTGCTTCGAGGTTTCTAGATGGAACCTGGAGTCAGAATCCCCTCAAGCCACCACCGAAGCGAGCAGTGTGTTTCCATCCGATGTACAAAAAGAAGATGCTGGCCTGGAACTCTTCGTGCTAAGCAGAGCAAGACATCTCCTCTGGGAACAAGAGAACCAATCGCTTCACTTTGAGCCTCTTTTTTTCTGGTGTAGTCCCCTCCAGCCTTCAGGCTACCAAGCCGTTCTGCATTGTCGGTGAATGACCGTGCTCCCAAAAGGGCCACCATGGCGGGGGGTTCTACAGATGACCCTTGCGACGTTGGCCAATACCACTCAGCGGCCCACCCGAGAAGTGACCCTCCCGCCCCTCTGGGCAACTGGGTCGTGGCGATAACTCTCCTGTTGGCGGAAGTATTGCAGCCGCCGTTCGCAGCAATCTTGAACTAATTTTCGTCGCAGTTCGAGACGACCCCGGGGAGGCCAGGGGAGCTGTTGGAGATAGATATATGGGAGTGATGTTTCCTGAGACCCTGGTGCAAACGTGATAGCCGCGCCATAAGATGGGGCACGCATAGTTGGCCTGGTTGGTTTAACCTCCTGAGCTGGGCACCGATGATCCCGTTCTTTTGAGCAACAGGGATTCTGCAAAAGCGGTTGCAGTTGACGACGGTCCCGGGCAGCTGGTGGGAGCTGGAACACGCACCAGAACTCCCGTGCTCCCCTTTATTTTCACATGTACACCTGCTCCCTTATGTTTCTCCTTCTAGGATTTCGCTCTACTGATTTTGCTGTCACATTTTCCCACAAAACAAAAGATTACTTACAACAGTCTGCTGCTTCGATCTTTTGCTCAAGTCGGCGTCCTCAGGGGCTGCCACGCCCATGCTCGATTTTTATCCGGCTGCAGACACTACTCTAGGGTTGATCCATGAGTTTCCTTTGCTACTGTTGCGGGAAGGAACGGCAGCAAGGTGGCTAGAGATGGAACCCGTTTGTCAAATCGGGGTGCACGAATGTGCAATCTAGTTCCCTAACCTACACCGCTACTTAACAGCACGGCTGAGAGTAGGGGTCGCTTGCTGTTTTGTCGCCTGCCTGTCGCCGGGCAGGCGTCCTACCCTGGCTGGGCAGAGAAGCCGAGGGGGGTGCAATGGGATATATTGTCTGGAATCTGCTCCTACTAACAAAGACTGTGGTCGCAGGTAGTGCTCCAAATGCACAAACTTTAAAGAATCTCTCTATCACCGCCGAGTTTCTGGTCATCACCTGATAGTACCGAGGGGCAGAACAAGAACTGCTCCCCAGAAGAAAACACGACCTTAATTTTAGTGTGCTTTACCCTCCTAGCGCCAGCTTTGGGCTTCGAACCGATCCCTGCGGCTTGCTATTGCCGCGATGGTGGGCAGCAGCTGCATCACCCCCCTCGTGTGCGAAACCATTACTTAAAATAAGTGTGAGTTCTTGCCATCGCCGGACACTCCCCGTGGCACTGGTAAGGATCTAAAGGCTTTCATTAATCCCGGTGGCTTTTCATGTATCTCGGTGGTCCTTCCAGTAGACCTATATGGCCTGATATTGAAAACCCCTTAAAGCAACCCCGTGAAGGCGGAAACCCCTAAAGCCCTGGAAACTTATCGTTTCAACTTTTTTCGGATTCCTTTGCTCGCTCGTGGTGTTCTATAACTAAAGAGTCGTGGGATAGGTAATGGTAGACAATGTCTTGAAGCAGGTTTCATGTAGGTGATGTACACTTCCTATACCGTAGGCCTCGCGTTCGAAACCTCCAGTTTTCCATCCTTTACATGGAAAGTTGCGTGTTCCCCGGTGGAGTAGCTGTGTTGACGCCGCATAGGCTTCGAGAATTTCTCATTCCTCTTTGACCAGGTTTGTCGCCAATGCCGCATCAGGGCCCGTAGTTTCGTTGGCCTTGAGCGGATAAGTATCCTAAAAACATATTCGGATAAAGATCCTAGTGCGCTCAAACACAATATCAGTCCATTGCCTACATGGAGGAAGCCGGGGAGTTCACCAATGACTTCTTTGGGGAAATATATCAGCGGAGCGAGCGAAAAGGCCAGGGCTGAAGCAAAGGGATGATCATCGGCTCTTGGTTGTTGTGATTGAATGTGATATAGTCAAGAGCATGGCTAAGCAGCACCTGATACAAGCTTGACAGAAAGTGTAAGGCAGCGGCCGGCAGTAGAATCGAAGCGCTGCATTCGGAGTAATCGGCTCCATCCTGAAGGAATGTTGCGCGATATTGGCGGAAGGTTGTAAGTCACGCCACTGTGGCTTTGCGTGGCTTCTTGTTTCTGGGGGCTTACATAATATTGGGGCACGTTTCTGTGATCCGAAACTCCAGGCGGTAGCGCCTGGGATTGGAGGCGGACGCGCCTGAGGCCTGGTGGTGACGCGCCTGGATCCTGGAGCTTTAGGGCGATCGGTACCCCTGCCGAGGCACCTTTTGCGCTAGTTCAGGCATAGGTTGAGAGTTCTCGACCCTGAGCTCGGCGACGTCGTCAACCGTCGACGCCGACATCTTGCCCAACGAAAAACCCCCCCTCGCAACACCGCCCCGGCCATGTCGAAAGAGCTCAGCGCCGAGGCCCAGGCGGCCCAGGCGGCGCACCAGCAGCTGATTGAGCAGCTCGACAACCACTCGATGCACAAGTCGTTCCGCAACCCGGGCTGGCGGCCGAACCAGCGCCGCAACAAGAACATCAAGACCATCCTCGTCGACGCCTTGCGCAAGGAGGCCTCGGTCATCGCCACGCCCCAGGACAACAACAGCGGCGCCGCCACGCCCCTGCCTCCAGCCTCGGCCGCCGCCGCGCACGATGATGGCCTCTCGACCAGCGGCATGTCCACGCCCGCGGGCGCCGCCGCCGCCGCCGCCAACGGCGGCAGCAACAACAACAGCAGCCTGCAGCCGAACCTCGCGCAGGCCTCGCGCAGCCTCAGCAAGCTGGTGCTGGAAAAAAGCCTAAAGCCCCCGGGGGCCGGCGCCGCCGGCCCGTCGGCGCCCAGCCCCACGTACACAAACATCGAGAGCGCGCCGAGCATGGCGCCCCTGAAGCGCTACTGCGACATCACCGGCCTGCCCGCCCCGTACACGGACCCCAAGACGCGGCTGAGGTACCACAACCGCGAAGTCTTCTCCATAATCAGGTCGTTCCCTCAGGGCGTAGCAGAGCAGTTCTTGGAGGCGCGCGGAGCCCAGACCGTGCTGAAATGAGGGCATATTCTTTTCTTGTTTGGTTCTGCTTCTCTATATTTTGGCATATGTACGAATCACAGAAGAGCAACTGGCGTTTACCGAGGTGCCGGGGAATCCGATTTACGATTGTCATCATAATGATATCAAGTCAAGCGCCTGCCAGGCATACGCGCACAAGCAGTATTTGCGAATGCGCTACATGTCCGACCGACAAAGTCAAGCTTCAGCTAAGCGCCCGATGCCTCTCGACACCAGGACGCAATTGACGCTCCGGCTTAATCGCGATCGAATGTTGATCTCTGCCTGTATCAGACCGACCACCGGGGCGTCGAGGAAGGACGGCCCCCAGTTACCATAGCTCAGAAAGCTAAGCCGCCGCGGCAAGTGAATAGAGCGAAAGGAGACAGCCTCGTGAAAGAGGTTGATCAACCTACCTTGTACCCCCTAAGGGCATGTCTGGATGATATAAACCGGACATCGGATGTCATCTGTCCTTTGGGAGGAGTAATGATTGCTGCTGTTGCAGCGGGCAGTCCCAAGACAAGATAGAGTACCATAAAATATGTTGATGTAGAAATGGCGTGAAGACTTGCCAGCTAAAGAAAAGCTTTTCGGTTTTTAAGTGCGGCTCAGCCACTTGTGGCGTGCGTGCATGTCATGGCTTGTGTGGACCCCTGGTCGCAATCCATCGGACCTGCCACCGCGACAAGGATGGATCAATGCTAGACGCGGGCCCTCGACGTCGTTTTGGCTGCGTTGCGACTCCCTTTTTTTTTTTTTTTTGCGACAGCCAGCTTTTGCCTTGAGTACTTTTGTCCTTCGTGTCCACTAATGCCATAGACAGCCTCGGTGAACCCTACCAACATATACCGACAACCCTCCCCCAGCGCCCACACGCCTCGCCGACCTCACCCGCCCACCCGCGCGCCGCCGGTAGTTAGTTCGCACGAGCGACCATCCTTCTCGTGGCCTATCTCGAGACCGACCGCATTGCCCTCCCGCCGTCCCTTCAAGTCGCTCCGCAAAATGTCCATGTGGCTTTCGGATACCCAAAGTCAGCCCAACCGCCTCCCCCCTGGCCCCGCCCCCGAAGAGGTGCTTTTCCTCATACTAACCATGCGTCTCAACTGCAGAGATCGGGGTAGCCTTCTGCACCGGCGGTAGGTACGGCACATAGTCGTGTCCCGGCTTTCGGTCTTCCCAAGTTGCGGAGGATGTCGGCTGACCACGGAGGTGTTTGGCGGGGTTGCAGGAGGCTTCTTCCTGATCGCGGGCGTCATGATGTTCTTTGACCGGGCAATGCAAGTCAACACCCCCCCTCTTTTCCCTTCCTGAGACTGTCCAAATCACCTTCTCCCTCGTCATTTTTGGAAGTGAGCCGAGGCTGACGTAGAACACACACAGGCTCGCCATGGGAAACGTACGCGACTCAAGCTCCCAGCCCCCATAACCCCTCCCCCTCCTCTCGCCCGACGACGGAGAGCTGACCACACGCTCGGTTCCGCCGCCGCCGCCCCTCGCAGATCCTCTTCCTCATCGGCCTCACCATCATCATCGGGCCCCAAAAGACGCTGCTCTTCTTCGCGAGGAAACAAAAGGCCAAGGGCACGGCCGCCTTCTTCCTCGGCCTCATCCTCATCCTGATGAAGTGGCCCCTGATCGGCTTCTGCGTCGAGCTGTACGGCATCGCGATCCTGTTTGGCGACTTCCTCGGCACCATCGCCGGCTTCGCGAGGAACGCCCCCGTCGTCGGCCCCTACATCGGCCTCCTCGTCGACCGCATCGGGCTCGGCGGGAGGCGCAACACCGAGCTCCCAGTCTGAGTCCCCGTTTGAACTATTCGAGTCGAGCCACTTCTAGGGTCGCGATCCTGCGCCACATGTTACGAGTAGGAAGAAGCCTTTAGACTTGTCGTTATGTACACTTTTGGAAAGGCGTTCAAGTGTTACAGGATACCCAGTTCATATACCACAGTCGTGAAGCCGAGAGGTACTGTCTCGAGTAGTCCTTGTCGAGTATTCGATGGTAGCATCCTAGGCTGCACTCGGCTGTCAGGGCGAAGAGCGGGGGCATGCGTGTGGACAACATACAATGACCAGTTGTTGAACCTTGAATGATTCATCTGGCAGAATCCGCGCCCCGCCACTTTCATCACGGAGAACAAGCATGTGAGAGAAACAGTGAAGCCAAGAGACATGAAGAGGCGAATAGAAAACGAATCACAAAGCCAAAGGACAAGGAAAACAGATGCGTGTTCTTGCATATGTATTCCTGGGTAAAGTCTCAAATATAGAACAATCCTGGCCGGAAGCAGAGCGGGATGAAGCCTCGCGACACCCGCCCAAACCCAGTCCCTCTTTCTTTCCCCTTCACGTCATCGTATAATCGACTTGACAAGGAGTCACACCATTGCGGTCAGGGAGGAGAAATGAATAACGAATGGGGCTTGATTACCCCCATATGAATCAACGTCGCCTATCTATCCGGAGAGATCGTGTGCAACCTAGTAGCCTAGGGGCTTCAGGTAGTCGACGAGGGCGCCGATGGCAGCCGAGGCGTTGCCTGCGATTTGCCCCTCGTTGTGAAGCCCGACGAGGATAGCCTGTTGTGACTTGGCGATGCAGATTCCGGAGCGGCCCTGTTGATGATGGTAGAAAGCGGGGGCTTGTCAGCACGCTGCTTGAAATTTACCGCCTATACCGACTTCCGCAGGGGTATGGGGAGATCGCATTGTACATGTCTAGCGTAAATTGTGTTCTCGTCGGCGTTCGCCATGACATAGCGCTGCTTAGCAATATAGAGGCCCTCGGAGTAGGCACGGTCGCGCGCGCCGCTCGCGTCCGAAAGGATGTCGGCAATGGCCTTCATCTCGGTAGGCTCGAGCTGTTGATTCCGCCACGCGGGCCGTAGTTAGTCGAGGGCACTGTTGCTGTGTCGCCGGCATCCATCCCCCCAAGTGGCGGGTATTCCTGGGTGCGGAGATGCCCTGGATGTACCTTGAAGCCGGCCGAGGTGGCCCACTCGCTGTCGCCGGCGGCGCTGATGATGGCCGCCTTTTCGATGTGGCCGGTGCCGACGAGGCTAGATACAAAGCAATATGTGAGCGGTCCGGGTTCCATCTCCCTTTCCACTCCTACCGTGCGGGGCAAGCTCCGACCGAGGGCCATGACGGTTTATTTACCTGCTGTCAACGTAGGCTATCGCGGGTAGCAGGTTGCATGGTTAGCTTCATCAGCTCTGCATGCCGGTTGTGAGGGGTTAAAGGGTGAGGCCGCCGGCGAGGGTCGGAGAGGGGGCATCGAGCTTACCCTGCCACGACATTGTGAAGTGCGGGAAAAGAAGCACAAGGGAGGGCTTGGGATAGAAGAAAGAACAGGCGCGGGACGTGGTCCTGACGATGGGAGGGAGTGCGGGTTACGCGTCTGCGCTGGGTGTGCGAATGATGCGTCGGTAAGAGGTCGGCGCTGTGACTTGTCGGGAGGTCTCGGTCGGGAGTTCTTTTGCTTGGTATCAAAAAGGTGGGAGCTTCCCGCGTCAGGTTAAGTCCGTAGGACCATGCGGCTACGCTGGCGGGGGGGCGTGCAGTCACTTGGCGGAGCCCCGCCATCGGTTGTCTCTGTCCGTCCGGACAGGCCAAAGCACGACGAAAAAAAATAAAAGGAGGGGCACCACCCATGACGGGATTATGCAATCACATGGGGCTCGATTGCTTGTTACGTCAGCCTGCGGCATCTGGTTGGAGAGAAAACATCGACTTGACCAACAGCAACGGGAAAAAAAGTCTCGAGGCAAAGAAAAGCGGTTGGCATAGGAGAGACGATTCAAGGTCGAGTAGATTCCACAGTATTTACGTCGAGCACGTGGGACAGACGAGCAGATGCATGCGTCATTGTATTGGAGCATCCCATAAATTCGGATTGAGACGGCTGTGTTGCATCATGCAGGCATTCTCTATCCTCATCCCGTCCTCTCGATGATGCTCAATTTGGGCAATATGGCTCTGTGCCTAGGCAGGCGGCCTATCCGCATTATATGCCTTTGTCCTGGGAGATATGTTGACTTCTTCAAATGGTGTACTATGCTGGGATGGGTAGAAAGTACCTACCAAGTGAACCCTGCTATCAAGACGTCTCATGGAGTACGTGACGCACAGGCCATGCCACCCATTCATAGCAAAGCTTCTATCTTGACCACACGCGTGAAACCTGACGACCTTCATGTCTGACAAGTCGGGCTCGGCTAAGCTATTGCCGGGATAGCTTTAGAAATTCCGGCAAGCTAGTACCTACCTAGGTAGGTACCCAGCTCGCTGGGACAGTCGTCCAACTTGGGAGAGCGCTCCCCCGCAAAACATCCTACCCACTATCGCAGCAGGCGAGTCGATGGAACGATCTGACATTTACCCAATTCGATCAAGATCTACGTTGGTGGTTCAGGCAAGAGATGTGATACATTCATGCGAACACCTCACATGGGGGTGACTCTCGGCATGTGCAGTCTAACAGCCAGCGCGATTCCTTGGTACACATGGCGAATTGATGGCGAGCAGCGATCTCCGTCCCCCAGCCGACATCAAAGTTTGGTGAGCCTTCCCGCCCGTAGGTTGAATAGTATTCAGCAAGGAATCCGGCGTGTCGGCTTGGTGGCTGGACAGGGGCGGTTAGAATGGTCACCGGGCTGGGTATGGGTACACTTCTCAAGGACAGGACACCATGCTACAAAGCCTGTCAACCGGTCCGTCATCACACATCGGGCCGGGAGTGGATGGGCATTTATCGCGGACCGGGCAAATGCTCACGGGCACTATCAAGCCAGGGCACTTCCACAGGTCTTTTTATCTCTCCTGTCCCGACTTCGTGGTGGTGGGATCGTTGCTTGTTTTTAACTTTTCGCCGCGGCGCACTGGTTCGTCCCACTGAATTAAACCGGCATGAGAAGGTACTACGCTAACCTGTTCTTGTCGTTATGTAAACCCTCCGTCGTTTCTAGAATGGATTCATGGACTGGAACACCCGCACAAGGTCGCAATAATCCATGGAGTCGGCACAGGTATTTGCAAAACATGAGACGCGAAACTCTGGGCAGCGCGCCTGTTCCAGAGTGCTGAAACAGCCTCCTTTTGGGGCTCGGCATCTGGTTGGGCGGGACCGGTATTGGCCTGCCCAGGATGTCGAGCTTTCGATGGGGAAGGTGAATTCTGCGGCCTTGAAGTGGCAGTTGGGACCCGCCTATACCGAATGATTTATCGCGACGGCCTTGGGCGCCAAAGGTCCTATCGGCGCTGGCTATTGAGATGGTTCCGCGAGTGCTTCAGTTTTGGATCAATGGGAACGCGGGAACCAAACCATGACTCAGGGGTTGTTGGCATGAGCACGTTGTTGCTCGTTGGTTTGTTGGCTTGTTCCTTGTTGCGATCTTAGTCTGTGTGGCTGGGACGAGCAAGCCCTGCGCTCATCGCTGACAGGGCTTCAAGGGACATCGGGGGCTTTGTTTTTGGTTTTTCTTTGCCCAGGCACAAGAGCTGGTAGGACGAAAGACGCCATCCCCCATTTGCTTTTGACGGGATCCACACAGATCCACGGTGAAGTAGCAACTCTGGCTGCACCATGACAGGCCTCCTCCAATTTCCATCCTCCCCGCAAACGCGACAGCGAATGCATCAATCACACCTTGGACTTCCCTCTCCTGTTTCCAAATTTGGATGCGACCCTGGCGCGGAATACGCCGAACACCTGAATGCGCCAGTGACAGAATCCAACCAGAATCCAACCCCAGCCGACCCCGGTGGCGTTATGCTCCTGCCAAACGACCAAGATGCTGTGTGCTATAACCCGTCGCCGACACTCGTTCCTCCATCCGTCTTGTTCCCAGCTGGCACCCGAAGTCTCCTCTTCCAATACCGCTCACACCCCTTGTCATCCTCCTTTTGCTGGCGGCGTCGGTCCTGGGAACAGACGACGGAGTGGCAATAACAAACAAGAGCAAACGGTGTCCGCCGTAGGATCCAACAGCTGACCCAGTCGAGTTCCGTCATCAGAATGTGTCGTCTGGTCTCATCCATTCTTCCTGCTTTAGTCAGCCTGGAGGGAGCGGTACGTTAAAGTTTCAGATCCGCCATGCCCGTGAGGGTGTGTTATGCTGCCTCGCCCCCCGTTGCAGTGCTGGTGGTCCGAAGTCCTTGCTGGGTGGATCTGCTGACTTGGTCCTCGTCTCTGTCCGTCTCCCGTGCGGCGTCGTCTAGGGGCCAAGCGGGGATCGATCGCATCACCGCAGAGTGTTCACACCACCCCTGGCACCCTGGCGCCCTGGGTCACCCTGACTACCACGGATATTTTATTGGCCGAATGGACACCCAGGGCGATCTGCCGCTCGAAATAGCCGACCCCTCAACCTCAAACAAGGAATGCCACTGGAAGAATTGGTCGACACGGCGTGCTGCGCTCGCGGCACCCCCGACTGTCCGTTTCTTAACGCGCTGTCGTACTGCCGGCGGCATGTGGGCTTCTGGAAGAATTCCCATTTGCGTGGTTTGTTTGACGATGCCGCCCCCCATGGCCCAAGTCTGTGTAATTGCCAGGACTGTATCGGGCGTTGAGACACTGTTGCCAAGCCACGCCTCGGCTTCATCGCTCGACAGACGCGGGACGTTGGCGGCAAAGCAGCCGTCTGTCTCGCTGCTGTTGTCCTCCGGGCTGTGGACGGGACCAGAGCTGCGTATCAGCCAAATAACAAGGCAGACTGCCAGGATGGCCTTGTGGCCACTTCAGCGGCCCGACATGGCAATATGAAAGGCGTCTAGAATCCGGCCTGTCGCGTTTACGAGAGAGATGACTTCTTTCTCAGCCGTCAGTTTGAATTATTGATCTCATTTCAGGGACTCGTGTCGATGCAACGTCATTGGCCTGCCCCCTTCTCTCGCAGCTGATTGTCTTCGAAACGCAGACAGCCCCCCACGGGATTGCTGTTCCTGCTAATCTTACGAGCGTCGTCACATTTCGGCTTCTCTGCGCATGCGGAGCCCTATCAGCCACAAAGTAACCGGCAGTGGGTGACAGTGAGGGTAGGTTTGGCATTGAGCTCCAAGCAACGGCTGCAACCCTCCACTAGGTCGATCGATGGACGACAGGCGACGCGTTCGGGGATCCCGCGCGGCCCTCGGCCAGGCAGGCATGTTCAGGGTTGCCAACCGTTCCATGTCCCTGCGCGGTGGGAGCATCGCAAAAAGCGGTAACGGCGCTGGCGCTGCTGCAGAATCTCGTGCAGCTGCAGGCGCACCTGTTCTTGAACCGGGGCCCGGGGCAGTCAGGGCGGGCATCCATGTAGGGCACCACCACACTTGCACGCACGGCCCTGTCGCCCCCCTTGCCCCCCTCACCTCCGCTGGGCCCGTTGTTGAATCAGGCACTTCCCTGCCCCGGCAGACCGAGTCGAGACTTGTTGAAAATGCGAGCACCCCCGCCGCTTCCTTCCCTGACGGTCGTTGTACCTACCTGACCCGTCCACTTCCTGTCCCCCCTCTCAGAGCCAACATCGCAACCATGGCATCACGACCGAGCACATCTGGCGGCCCCAAGGCGCCGTCCAGCTTCGACAGCATGGCCGACCGGAGGATATCGAGGGACGACATGTTTCTGAAGGCCCCCCAAACCGCAATGGAAAACAAGCGAATCTCTAGAGACGATATCTTTGTGGGAACGCGAAAGCAACCCGGCTGGACCAGGCCGGCGCTGTCAGTCATGCCCCGTGTTGGGCCTGCAACATCCTTGGACTCTAGCCCTGCCCGTCCATCACCAACGATCACGATAGGATCTGTTTCTGTGCCTCGGTTTGGCCGGAGGGGAACGGTTGACTCCCAGATGTCTGGTGATATCCCCATCGGTATGGCTATCGGGAGCCCAACTCACATCCCGTCCGGTCTTTCCACCACATGGACGCCACAACAGGCCCCTCCGGCACAGGAGCCTGCTATGAGGTCGGAGCCTCCACGGCAACCACCGCCCGAGCCTACTACCGTGAAGCGCACCAAGACCGGGAGGCGCAGGCTCTTTAGCCTGTTCAGCAGGAAGACCACACCAGACGAGGTCAAGGCCGTCAAGGTCCCAGAGCCACCTGTTGTCGACTTCTCCGGATCCATGTACACGGCGACGGCAGAATCAATGTCGTCGAAAACATCTCCCTCGAGGAGCGCCACGTCCGCTGGCGGCAAGGGTTCTGCTCGGCAGCCCGATAGATCCCCCGCGATTGTCCGTACGAACACAGAGCCGTTCCAACAAGCCCCCACAGACGCCCAAACTAGAATGCCAGCAAGAGGCGCCCCGTTCGAGCCGGATTGGCGCCGGCGCCAGAAGGAGATTGGCGTATCTGGGCCAATGAACCTGAGGGCTCCGCCAGCTGCCTCGTCAACATTTGCCGGGAAAGGCCTCCTTTTGGATGTCGAGATCCCTTCTATCAAAATGGAGCGGTACAGCGTTATGTTTGGAAATCTTCTGGATGCGAGGCGCGACTCCGCTCTCCTCAACAGGCGGCAGGCTGCTGTGGAGAAACTGCATGCCATCAGCGACAGAGTGATGGCTGAGCAAGGGTTGAAAGAGGCGCCAATCGCGCATCCACGAAGGGCAACATCGCCGCAGACGATCATGGAGTCGCCTATATTTCCCTCACGAGCGTTCGCCACGTTTCCGACCCCGCCGCAGTCCCGCCCCGAGAGGCTCGCAGCGCAGGCTCCCATGTCGCCATCAAGGATGCGCTCGAACACGTCTCCTGCAAACCTACCATCCCCAATGCAGTCCACTTTTGGGAGTGACGCCCTGCCACGCGGCCAGGCAGTGGCGGCACCGGAGCCACCCAGCAGGGCGTTCCCCGCCACTTCGAAGGTCATTTACTTTGAGCCGGGCCAATCGAGCCTGGTCCTCGAGTCCCCGACCAGCCTGGACGATGATGCGAACCTGTCCCCACGACCCATCACGCAGGTACAGCCCCTGAGGCCCAATCTTGCCGAGCCGCAGTGGCAAATGATAACCCCGCCCATGTCAGCCGCGCCTTCCAGCACCTCGTCGTCGAGCACTGGAAGCAGTGGCGCCGCGCGGAAGCGATCGCCATCCGTCGCTTCGTCGGTGCGGACAAACATCACGAAGCCATCGCTTGAGATCGAAGAGTCGGACCATGCCCTCAAGGCCGCGGTGGAGATCTCCATCGCGCGCCAGATCAGCGTCTCGCGCCAGCAGCGCAACCTTCTGCTGCCGCTGCACACGGGGCCAGGCTCCGTGCGGCAGGGGGCCGGGGGCGGCTCCATCGGGAGCGCGAGCCCTCACGAAGGCAGCGCCTCGGACAGCCCCGTGAAGCTGGGCAGGAACGAGCGGCTGATCGACTCCGTCGCCTCGACCCCGACCCTCATCCAACCGCCTCACACCCCGGACTCTGAGCTCCTCAACTACAGGAAGAGCTCGCGGGTGGTCCTGGAGGCGGCATAGTCAGATGCCGGAATCCCGACCCGACCCGGCCCCTTACCCCCTTTCCCTTTGTCAACAGGTTGCACATACAGGGTTCATGATTTCACTTTTCGTTTATGATTTATTATCGGGGCGGCAGCGAATCTTGCAATCTATTTATCACCCCTCTCCTTCTCGGCGAGGCACCCTGGCATAATGGTTTGGTCATGAGACTGCAAAACAAACTAATATGGTGCACGCCAACTCCTTTCCTTTTCTTTCTTGTCTCGAAGCAAAAGCCGAGAGATTTGGCCGCGGTGGAGCCCGTGTGGATTTTACGGTTCTCTTTTCTTCTCTATTGAGATTGACAAAACGGCGGCCGACCCAGCCTGCTTTGATCGATGCATCATGTGCTGGCTCTGACTCTGCTTCTTTTTCTTCCTTTTTTGTCCATTTTTCTTTTTCACCGGCTGGTGTGCTTGACCGTCGGCGGACACGGACGGATAAGGCTCGGTGACCTAGTGTTTTTCCTTCATGCTCTTCATTTCGATGGAGCTTCTTTTGTTCTTGATACCACCACTTCTTGTTTTACATAGCGACGAAAGCCGGAAATTGACGCAGACAGGATAGGCCATGTCACAAGGGTGGATCCAGAACTAGATGATAATAAATACATCGGATACTTCTCCCCTGAGCCACCCCTGTCCCGTTGCGTGCCCGAAAACAGGACAAGAAAAAAGTAAGACAGGGAATAATATGGCTCGTCGGTCACACTGGCTAGGGAATGCAGTTTGGGCAGTGCCCGGCCTGCGTCAGACAGAGCGCTCTGTCTCTCGGGAACTCCGCGTGCCTTTTGGTCCGCTTTTGATATGGGATCTCCCTCCCCGCCAGTCGATCCGGATCTCTCGAACCCTTGGCGGCCACGGGAGGAGGGGACAACCCCGATGTGGAAGGAACCCAAAAAAGGCTCGGGGCGCAAGACGTCACCTAGATGCGACGCGGCTCGGGTTGCCAGTCCCGGGGAAGCTGCTGCTGACCCTGCGCCTGATTCCTACGCTCGACTGTGTTACGAAGCCGGTGCCCTGTTGCCTTTACCCGTTTAGTCTTTTCTTGTATATTCTTTTTTTTTTTTTTTTTTTTGCGGCCTTTTCGGGTCCATGTATTCTTCATCCGTGTGGATAGACACGCAAAGGTCCTAATACTCTTTTTTTTTTTTATTCGTCATGCACGAGTGGGCTACCATTAATCCAGCGCGCCGATCGCCTTGACCGACGCAAGGTTCATGGCTTGGGGGCCCGGGCGGAAAGGGGACGAACACCGCCACGCGGACAGGTCAGGGTAAGCCGGGCATCATATTATGCACGCTTTCGGGGTGCGCGCTGTTAGTGTTGAGGGTTGTTACGTAGATGGGCCAAGGCGCTTGAAGGAAGGGGGCAGGCAAAGGCACGGTTCGCGTTATATAGGTAAGATTGTCTGTTGGGAAAGTCGGCTCAAAAAAAAGGAAGAAAATGGGAGGAGATAAAAGCAGAGGACTACGAGATCCAAAAGAAATCAACCACGGAATGCCGCGGGAGGGAGAGGATATTATACTCCCCCCCGACAAGCAAACGGACGCCTTGATATAATACGGAGCCATGCGGTAGCAAGTAGCAGCATCAACAAATGTCCCTAACGGCCTTACATGACGATACAGCACGAGTTCTGCTTCTTTGCTTGTGCTGTAGGGTACGTGGCACAGCCTCTAGTCAGCGCCTAGATGTCGTTTCTTAAAGGGGGCGGACACATTAGCAAGCGGAAAAAGATGTACATACTGTAGAACATCTTGCTCTGGGCGCTCAGGCCGTCGCTTTTGGCGACGAGGTCGTCGATCTTCTCGCCGCGCTGGAGGACCGACTCGATGGTCTTGTGCAGCACGATCTTGGTCTCGTCGAGCTCCTTCTGGATCTTGAGGATGCTGTCGGCCTCGTGGGGGTCCTGGTACTTGATGATGTACTCCTGCAGCTCGGGGAAGGGCAGCGTCACGTCGCCCGTGGCCCAGGAGGAGCGCGGGTGCTTCGTCAGGAACTCGTCCACCACCTTGGACAGCAGCTGGTGCGCCACGAGCGCCGGGTACGCGTGGTCCGAGATGATGATGCCGCAGACGCCCTCGGTGCGCCCGTAGGCGTGGAACGTGTACTCTGCGTGTGGTAGGGGGCTTGGTAAGTATATCGTATATCCCCGACCGGTTCACCATGCTGCTCCGCTCCCACTTGTAGGCTAAAGTTACCATTTTCCTCGACGTCTTGCCGTTGTCCAGGCTGTAACATAGTTCATCGTTAGGAAGAAGCTTTCGCCAAGCCATGAATTGGGGATCTGCGGCGCACCTTGGTCCGCTCGGCAACCGTCTTGGAGGTAAAGGTCATGAATTCGCCATAGCTAAAAGAGAAATCGGGCGCGGCCGGCCGTCAGTGGCGTTCGGGACGAGCGACAGATATCTTGCCCGCGACCTCGCCGCCGTTTCGATCCTCTTATCCATCCCGGGAACATCAGAGTCCCCTGGAATCGGCGGGCGGAGGGCGGCGGAAGCGGCGGCGGGGTTTGTGGGAGGACAGCAACGTACTTGGAGCGAGTGAAGCGCGAGTACGAGCTCAGCTCCTTTTCGGCGACGATCTCGTGCGCCGGCTTGGTCTCGTTGCGGAAGATCTAGAACGGGCGGTAGCGTTTGTCAGTGCGCGTTAGTCCTGTCGTTGACCCCTCGTCGATGTCCGTGCGGGTGTCGGGCGCGAGAGGGTCTCGCTGCTTCGGCGGGCACTCAACAACGCACCCCGATGTAGTGCAGCTTCATGGTGGTGGCTGGATGGGGTTGGTCTGGAGGTGGTCTGGGGGTGGTTGCTTCAAGCGGCGGTCGGGATGGCTCGACCGCTCTTCGTCGTTTTGGGCGGTGCGGGGGTCGTTGGGACGGGTCGGATGGGGTGGATTCGATGCAGAGCGGCAAGGGCGGGAGCTGTCGATGGGTGCCAGACCGAATAGCTGGCTGGTTGGTGGTGGTGTGGCCGTCGTCAATCAAAGAAGCCAAGGATGGTGTCGTCTTGTTCGGGCGTGGTGTCGGCGCTGGCGGTGGCTTCCGGCGGCCTCAATCAATGGACGTCACATGGGTCAGTGATCGATGCACCGAATTGGATGCCCCGCTCCACGATCAATGGCTCATTGTGACGGGGTGTGGATTAGGTGGGTTTGGTCGCTGTAGCTGCTTCCGGTTCAGGGCTTCCATCCACTATTTGTTCCCTATTTCGGCGTGACTCTTTCGCTCAGCCGCCAGATCGAGTTGGGGTTGGTGTGGACCTCAATCGCGGGCATCCAGCTGTCAAATATTAAGCTAGATCGTGCTGGATGAGTGAGATTCCAGGACCCGAGATTTGGGTCGATGATATATTCGCTTCCATCCTAGACTGGTGAACTGTTCTGCAACACTATAACCTGCCTAGCTCCCGTGCTGCAACACTCAACTAGGTATCGACCAGGAAGCGGAACACAGCAATGTCAGCCAAGGCCGCTGGCGAGTCCATCGCCCAATGGCGGGCTCAAGTCACCGCCATGAAAGCCGCCATTGCAGCTTTAGACTTGTCTACTAGGAGCGGCAGCGGGAATGACCATCATGAAGACGACGATGACTCTGGCTCCTCCAGCCCCGGAGCCTTAGGCCACGATGTTTGGGATTTCATCTCTGACGATGAGCTGGATGAGATCGACTTCGAGGACGAGCCAGACTTTGGCGGTGATGCTTCAGACTCTCCATACGGCGCACAGTGGCTAGCATCTCGATGTGGCCAGGTCACCGCACGAAAGGGCGGGCTCTCTTCGGGCCCGCTACAGGATCAGATCCTGGTTCTCCTGAGGTCGAGCCGGTCCGAGGAAGAGCTACAACCCGCCTTGACAGATCTGCTAGGGTTTGACGACCTGGATTTCGTTATCGACCTCATTTCCAACCGCCAAGCGGTCCTTGCCGGGAACCAGCCGGAGCCTGACGGAGCCCTTGCCGGACCGGGTGGCTCGCGGCTCCTCAACAAGTCACAGAGGGAAGAAGCACTCCGACGACAGGACTTCAAGCATAAAAACACCACCTTGGCGGCTGCCGGCTTCAAGGAGCCCCAGTACCCTCACGTCTACCGGGCCTTCAACCCTGGAAACTCCCTGAATCACGCCGGAAAGCGGTATGCCCTGCCTGTGGGCAGCGAGCGTCTCGAGTTCCCCAAGTATGAGGAGTACTCCATCCCTGCTGGCAAGCCCGGAGCGCTTTGGCCCGGACATACTCTGGTTCCCATCGCAGATATGGACGGCCTCTGTCAGAGGACGTTTCGAGGCTACAAGTCGCTGAACCGCATGCAGAGTCTGGTGTACCCAATCGCGTACAAGACAAGCGAGAACTTGCTCGTCTGCGCACCCACCGGTGCGGGAAAGACCGACGCTGCCATGCTCACCATCTTGCACACCATCAGCCAATACGTGACACCGAATCCCCTCGAGAACATGACGGCCACCGAGTTCGCCGTCCAGGCCGAGGACTTCAAGATCGTGTACGTGGCGCCCATGAAGGCCCTGGCGGCCGAAATCACGGGAAAGCTGGGCAAGCGGCTTGCCTGGCTTGGCATCCGCTGCCGTGAGTACACAGGAGATATGCACCTCACCAAGGCCGAGATCGTGCAAACCCAGATCATCGTCACGACGCCAGAAAAGTGGGATGTGGTGACGCGCAGGGGCACCGGCGACACGGAGCTTGTTCAAAAGGTGCGCCTGCTCATCATCGACGAGGTGCACATGCTCCATGACGAGCGTGGTGCCGTGCTCGAATCGCTGGTGGCCAGGACCGAGCGCCAAGTCGAGAGCACCCAGTCCCTGATCCGCATCGTCGGGCTCAGTGCCACGCTGCCCAACTTCATCGATGTTGCCGACTTCCTCAAGGTCAATCGCTACCAGGGGCTGTTCTACTTTGATGCGTCCTTCCGCCCCGTACCGTTAGAGCAGCACTTTATCGGAGTCAAGGGAAAAGCAGGATCAAAGCTATCAAGGGAGAACCTCGACGAAGTTGCCTTTGACAAGGTCAGGCAGATGCTCGAGCGAGACCACCAGGTCATGGTGTTTGTACACTCACGACGAGACACTATGCAGAGCGCCAAGATGCTCTATGAAAAGGCCGTCGACCAGGTCTGCGTCGATCTTTTCGACCCCAGTAACCACCCGAGGTATGAAAACGCGGTCCGGGATATGAAGACATGCAAGGCGAGGGAGCTGCGGGACCTGCTCCCCAAAGGACTCGGCATCCACCACGCCGGCATGTCACGCTCGGATCGGAACCTTATGGAGCGTCTCTTTGCCGAGGGCGTCCTCAAGGTTCTCTGCTGTACGGCAACGCTTGCTTGGGGTGTTAACCTGCCGGCTGCGGCTGTCGTCATCAAGGGTACCCAGGTCTACAGTGCACAGGAAGGAAAATTTGTCGACCTGGGCATCCTCGATGTGCTCCAGATTTTTGGTCGTGCCGGTCGCCCACAGTTTGAGGACACAGGTATCGGCATGATCTGCACAACGGCCGACAAACTGCCTCACTATCTCACCGCTGTTACGGATCAGTTGCCGATCGAGTCCAGGTTCTCCTCGAAACTGGTCGATAACCTCAACGCCGAGATTTCACTGGGGACCGTCACTTCTATAGCAGAGGCGGTGCAATGGATCGGCTACTCGTACCTCTTTGTGCGCATGCGCAAGAATCCCATGGCCTATGGCATTGGTTGGGCCGAGTTTGAACAGGACCCCGAGCTCGTGCAGAGGCGGCGAGAACTGGCGATCCAAGCGGCACGAACACTTCAGCAGAACCAGATGGTCATCTTCAACGAGACGACCGAAGAGCTTCGCAGCAAGGATATTGGGCGCATCTCCAGCCAGTTCTACATCCTTCACTCCAGCATCCAGGTGTTCAACAAGATGATGACGCCTCACGCGACCGAGGCCGATATTCTCAAGATGATATCGATGAGTAGCGAGTTTGACAACATTCAGTCGCGGGACAGCGAGGCCAAGGAGCTCACGCGCATGAGGCACGAACCCCGGATTGTGCCGTGCGATGTAAGCGAGGGCATCGACACCCCTCAGGCCAAGACAAACATCCTGCTACAGGCCTACATCTCCAAGGCGCAGCCCGAGGACTTTGCCCTGACCAACGATCTGAACTATGTGGCCCAGCAGGCCGGACGTATCTGCCGGGCGCTGTTCATGATCGCGCTCAACCGCCGCTGGGGACACCAGTGCCTTGTGCTGCTCACGCTGGCAAAGTCCATCGAGAAGCGCGTGTGGCCTTTCCAACACCCGCTGCACCAGTTCGAGCTCCCCAAGCCGATTTTGAACCAACTGGACGCCAAGGAGGCGCTGACAATCGGCGCCCTGCGCGACCTGGAACCGGCCGAGATCGGGGGGCTTGTTCACAACCACGGCGCGGGTACCAAGGTGGCCAACATCCTCAGCCACTTTCCCACCATCAGTGTCGAGGCAGAGATAGCGCCTCTGAACCGCGACGTCCTACGCATCCGGCTCTACCTCTACCCGGACTTCCGCTGGAGCGATCGCATCCACGGCACGTCCGAGTCCTACTACGTCTGGGTCGAGAACTCGGAGACGTCGCAGATCTACCACCACGAGTTCTTCATCCTCAGTCGCCGCAAGCTGCACGACGACCACGAGCTCAACTTCACCATCCCACTCGCGGACCCGTTGCCGACCCAGATCTACGTGCGCGCCGTCTCGGACCGCTGGCTGGGCGCCGAGACAGTGACGCCCGTGTCGTTCCAACATCTGATCCGGCCCGACACCGAGAGCGTCTACACGGACCTGCTGGACCTGCAGCCGCTGCCCATCACGGCCCTCAAGAACCCGGCGCTCGAGGAGGTCTACGCCCAGCGCTTCCAGTACTTCAACCCCATGCAGACGCAGATCTTCCACACTCTGTACCACACCCCGGCCAACGTGTTGCTGGGCTCGCCCACGGGCAGCGGCAAGACGGTGGCCGCCGAGCTGGCCATGTGGTGGGCCTTCCGTGAGCGCCCGGGCTCCAAGGTGGTCTACATTGCGCCCATGAAGGCGCTGGTGCGCGAGCGTGTCAGGGACTGGGGCGCCCGCCTTGCGAGGCCCATGGGCCTGAAGCTCGTCGAGCTGACGGGCGACAACACGCCAGACACGCGCACCATCAAGGACGCCGACGTCATCATCACGACGCCCGAAAAGTGGGACGGTATCTCGCGCAGTTGGCAGACGAGGGGCTACGTCCGCCAGGTCAGCCTCGTCATCATCGACGAGATCCACCTGCTGGCTGGCGACCGCGGGCCCATCCTCGAGATCATCGTGTCGCGCATGAACTACATCGCAGCCTCGACCAAGAGCTCGGTCCGGCTGCTGGGCATGTCGACGGCCTGCGCCAATGCGACGGACCTGGGCAACTGGCTCGGCGTCAAGGAGGGCCTCTTCAACTTCCGCCACTCAGTCCGCCCTGTGCCACTCGAGCTGTACATCGACGGCTTCCCCGAGGTCCGCGGCTTCTGCCCGCTGATGCAGTCCATGAACCGCCCGACCTTCCTGGCCATCAAAAACCACAGCCCGGACAAGCCCGTCATCGTCTTTGTGCCGTCGCGCCGCCAGACCCGTCTGACGGCCAAGGATCTGATCAACCTGTGCGGCATGGAGGACAACCCCCGGCGCTTTCTCAGCATGGATGAGGACGACCTGCAGCTCAACCTGGCGCGCGTCAAGGACGACTCGCTCAAGGAGGCCATCAGCTTCGGCATCGGCCTGCACCACGCCGGCCTGGTCGAGTCGGATCGCCAGCTGTCCGAGGAGCTCTTCCTCAACAACAAGATCCAGATCCTCGTCGCCACCAGCACGCTGGCCTGGGGCGTCAACCTGCCGGCCCACCTCGTCGTCGTCAAGGGCACGCAGTTCTACGACGCCAAGGTCGAGGGCTACCGCGACATGGACCTGACCGACGTGCTGCAGATGCTGGGCCGCGCCGGGCGGCCCCAGTTCGACAACTCGGGCGTCGCCCGCATCTTCACGCAGGACTCCAAGAAGGACTTTTACAAGCACTTTTTGCACACGGGCTTCCCCGTCGAGAGCTCGCTGCACACGGTGCTGGACAACCACCTGGGCGCCGAGGTCTCGGCCGAGACCGTCGTGACCAAGCAGGACGCGCTCGACTACCTGACGTGGACCTTCTTCTTCCGGCGCCTGCACAAGAACCCGTCCTACTACGGGCTCGAGATCGCGGCCGAGCAGCAGACCAGCATCGCGGCGCAGGAGGCGGCCAACGACTTTATGATATCCATGGTCGACAAGTCGCTCTCTGAGCTGGCCGAGTCGCGGTGCGTCGACGTCTACCCCAACGGCGACGTCGACCCGACGCCGCTGGGCAAGATCATGAGCTACTACTACCTCTCGCACAAGACCATCCGGCACCTCGCCCGCCACGCCCGCGCCGGCGCCAGCTTCGCCGACGCGCTGTCGTGGATGTGCCGCGCGACCGAGTACGACGAGCTCCCCGTGCGGCACAACGAGGACCTCATCAACGCCGAGCTCTCGCGCGCGCTCCCCATCCCGGCCGACGACGCCGCCTTTGGCGGCCTGCCCATGTGGGACCCGCACGTCAAGGCGTTCCTGCTGCTGCAGGCGCACATGTCGCGCGTCGGCCTGCCCATCACCGACTACGTCGGCGACCAGACCAGCGTCCTGGACCAGTCCATCCGAATCATCCAGGCCTCCATCGACGTGCTCACCGAGCTGGGCTACCTGTCGAGCTGTCTCGAGATGATCAAGCTGCTGCAGTGCGTCAAGTCGGCGCGCTGGCCCACGGACCCTCCGCTGTCCATCCTGCCCGGCGTTAGCCCAGAGGCCTTGAGCAGCAGTAACAACAGCAAAAAGGGCAAGGGGAAGAATGCGGCTGATAACGCCGAGGGCGGCCACGCCAGCACCACCCTGACGAAGCTGACCGCCATGGCGAGCGGGCAGTGGAGCAAACTATCCAGAGACCTGTCCGTCCCGCAAAGCCAGCAGGCCAGGTTCCTGCGGGCCGCGTCTGTGCTCCCCAACGTCGGCGTGTCCGTGGAGGACGTCAAGGCCGGCTCCCTGACGGTGGCGCTGAAGCGACTCAACGCCGTGGTGGAGCGCGAGGGCAGGATTTTCGCCCCCAAGTACCCCAAGCCGCAGACGGAGGGGTGGTTCGTGGTAGTGGGCGACCTGGCCGCGGACGAGATCGTGGCGGTGAAGCGAGTCGGCTGGTTCTCCCAGTCGTCGTCTACAGGAGGCAAAGGGAGGAAGGAAAGGGGAGGCGTGGGCAGCGGCGGCATCGAGCCCGGATCGAAACCAATGGCGAAGGCCGTGATTAAGCTTCCGGACCCAGACCCGGACAGCGAGGCTGGGAGGAACGGCAGGAAGCTGGACGTACTGGTGGTCAGTGATGCGTACGTCGGCATGGAGTACCGGGTAACCGGTGTCCAGGTACCAGGCCTCCCCGTGGTGGATGACGATGTGCGCAAGACAAAGGAAGCAAGGTAAAGGGAGGGGTCTAAAAGGAAGCAGTGTAGTGGGCATGTATAGGGAGAGATGGACGAGAGGGGACAGGCCTGATAGAACCAATAGAGACGGCATCTGAGATGATGAGATAAGATTAGAATTTGGATGGTTAGAAATTGTGCGTGTTTTCGTATTTCATGGGGCTGTGATGAACTCTATCTAAGCATACCATATTACCGTATTTATCCTGCATGAGAGCCTCGACATTAGACGGCGGGCCCGAGGTACTTCTCCAAGTCGACGTTGCCGAACATTTGCTGACGCAGCCGCTCCGCCTTCTTCCTGTCCTCCTCGGCCTTCTTTCGCACCTTGCCGGCGTCGAGAAGGTCGGGTTTCCTCTTGGGCGCGGCCGACCCTCCGGCCTTTTTTACTGCCGCCGCGCCGTCGGCGCCGATCCCCAGCCTGTCCTCGCGGGGCCTGGGCTTGAGCGGGACCGCGATGCCCTGGGACTCGGCCCCCAGCCCCTTCCGCGAGTCCGGGTCCCAGCCGTACGACTGCAGCACGGCCAGCCCCATGCGGGACCGGTCCAGGGCCGAGGGCGGGTGAGAGTGCGCGAGGCTCACCTGGTGGGCCAGGGAGGCCTCGTGCCTCTGGCGGAGGGTGGTGGCGGGAGCGGCCTCCTCATCGTCGTCGTCGTCGGTGCTGGCGATGGGCAGCTTGCACACGTCGCACATTTCAACAGCGACCGACGACGGCGGGTTGTCGCCAGCTGCTGCTGCTCCTTCACGCGCAGCAGCAGCTCCGGCTCCAGTTGTTGGTGGCCGCCCTCCTGCTGCTACCCCTGGCTTTGATGACTTCATCACAATGCTCAGGTACAGCTCGGCGGCGGATTGGCCAGAGCCCACCTCCTGCGAGGCAGCAGCAGCGCCATCGGCCGACGAAGTGGGGGTGGATGCAGGTACGAACTTGATGGGGCGCATCGAGATGCCGCTCCCGAATGGCTTTTTGCGGTGGAGCGGGACGCCGTCGTCGAGGCCATCGTCGTCGACGGCACTAGCGTCGTCGGCATCATCGTGGCGGCGATCCATGTTTACAATTCGCCCGCCCAAAGATGGTGACACAGTATTCCTTCGGGACCTCTTGGTCAGCGGTGAGAGGGGCAAGGAGGGTGCCAACATTCATGGACGGGCAATTGTTGAGGTGTGAGGGGGCCATCAGAGATTGGCTACCCTTCGGGAGCGAAGTTGGCCGGCGGTGGGGCCCTGGCGCTGAAACATGTGGAAAGTGTGGATCCACACCCCCTAAAAGGTGCGGTGAGGAGCGGATCTCATGCCTCCATCTCAGCAGCCATCGCGGGCCTAAGCGAAGGCACATGACGAGGCTAGCAAAAGCGGCACGCGGATTCTTGAACACGGCCAAGCCGGGCGACCTCCTGGATTTGAATAAAGCGGCCGCCTCGAGTCCTCCCGACATTACCCCTCCATCCCACACGCAAAACCCAGCCGTTGCGTCTGGATGAAATGATCAACGCAACCACAACCCATTGACCACTCAGGACACGTCGAGGACACGGCCTCAATTCTTACACGTAGCCTTGTTGAAGGCCCCCCTGCTGCGACTGCAGCAACCACTCTGACGCCATGCCCATCCCTTTCCTGGCCAGCGTCCTGCTGGAAGAGTACCCGCCATGGCTCCCCGAGCCGCGGGTGCTCCTCAAGGCCGGCAGCGCCCTGGCCGCGCTGGTGCTGACCAAGAAGTACTTTGCCGGCTCGTCCAACCCGGCCGAGCGGGACCTGCACGGCAAGGTCATCATGATTACGGGCGGCACGTCGGGCATCGGCGCCGTGACGGCCATTGAGCTCGCCAAGCGCGGCGCCCAGATCATCCTCCTGACGCGCCAGCCCGCCTCGGACCCCTTCATCGTCGAGCTGGTCGACGACATGCGCGACAAGGCCGGCCACCAGATGGTCTACGCCGAGCAGGTCGACCTCGAGTCGCTGTACAGCGTGCGCAAGTTCGCCACGCGCTGGGTCGACAACGCCCCGCCCCGCCGCCTCGATGCCATCGTCCTGTGTGCCGCCACCCTCACCCCGGGCGGCAAGCCGCGCGAGGAGACGGAGGAGGGCGTCGAGCGCGACTGGCAGGTCAACTTCCTGGCAAACTACCACCTGCTGGCCATCCTCAGCCCCGCCCTGAAGATCCAGCCCTTTGACCGCGACGTCCGCGTCATCATTGCCACCTGCCCGTCGTACATCCAGTCCCCGCCCTTGCGCACCGCTCTCACCGAAGTTGCCGGCGGCGGCGCCACCCCGAAGGGCTTGCGGTGCCGGGCGCCGCCACATGGTCTCCGGGCGCGGCGTACGCGCGCAGCAAGCTCGCGCTCATGACGTTCGGTCGGGCCTTCCAGAAGCACCTGGACTCGTACAAGCGGCCCGACGGCCTGCCCATGAACGCGCGCGTCTTCTTCGTCGACCCGGGCCACTGCCGCACGGCGGGCATGACGCGCTGGATCACGCGCGGCTCGCTGTGGGGCCTGCTAGCCTACGTGGGCCTCTACCCGGTCTCGTGGCTGTTCCTCAAGAGCGCCGAGGGCGGCGCGCAGTCGATCCTGTACGCGCTCATGGAGGGCTCCCTGCTGCGCGGCCCCGGCGGCAGGCTCATCAAGGAGTGCAGGGTCGTCGACTTTGCCCGCACCGACCTCGACGACAAGGCCGCGGCCAAGGAGCTCTGGGAGTCCTCCGACGCCCTCATCGAGAAGACCGAGAAGGAGCAGGCCATGGTGCGGGCCAGGAGAAAGAAGGACAAGAAGAGGGCCAAGGACGAGGAGGAGAAGCTGCGCGAGAAGGAGGAGAAGGCCCAGGAGATGGAGGCGCTGGCCGAGGCCATCAAGAAGAACAAGGCCGCCAAGGAGGCGCAGAAGGGCAAGGGCAAAGAGAGGGAGAGCAGGGAGAGCAGGGAGAGCAGGGAGAGTAGGGAGAGGGAGAGGGAGAGGGAGAGGGAGAGGGAATCGAAGGACAGGGAGCCCAGGGAGCCCAGGGAGCGAGAGTCCAAGGAGAGTGACCTCGGGGAAGTGGAAAGCAGCGACCGGGAGCACAAGGAGCATAGGGACAAGGGCAGGGAGCATAGGGACAGAGAGCACAGGGACAGAGAGCACAGGGACAGAGAGCACAGAGGTAGGGAGCACAAGGACAGGCACCGGGAGTCCAAGGACAGGGATCGCAAAGGAAAAGACAAGGAGAGCAGGAAGGGAAAGGACAAGGAGGAAAAGTACACGGACGAGCCCAGCCTTAAAAAGCGCGGATCGCAGGAAAGCCTGAGGAGAAAGAGCTCCAAGGAAAGCCTGAGGGGAGAGAAGGGCTCTTCGTCGCGTTCACACCGAAAGTAGGAAGTTGGTTGGGTTAGAGCTAGCTTCGGTGGTGGGGTGCCGCCCGCTCGGGAATTTTGGCAGTGCCTGCCCGGTGGTCTATCAAATTCTTTTCAGCCCAGCCGTTCTCACCCTGCCCACATATTGCAGTCATGCCAGACGTCCTCACACTGCCCTCACATCGCCGCCATGCCAGGCACCATAGCCCTGCCCTCACCTCGTCGCCCTGACTGGTTCATAGCTGCGCACCTGCCGTTTGCTATCAAGGTTAAGAGCCAAGTGTGGCGCATATGGGAAGAGGTCGGGTCGCCGGCCACAAGACTTCCCTGTGCAATGTCCCTCTTGGCTGCGGGTTCGACCCCAGGTGCGAGACATTTCTCCCGATTTGCCCACCTCCAAGAAATCCCGAACGCTCGACAGACCCCCCCTCCCCTCCCCTCCCCTCCCTCCCCCCCCGGCCGGCCGATTGCTCGACAAACCCCCTCCGGACCGATCGCATACGCCGACCGTATACGCTGAGGCACGACAGCCATGGCTATGGCAATAACAAGACGACGGAGTACAGGGAGACCTGCTATCCGTAGCAGGATACCCTTAGGCTACGCATACGTGTACACTTACACATGGAGGAAAGCGAATCGAGAATCGGAGTAAACCTTGTGTTTCGTAGCTGTCTACCCTCGAGGCTAGCGGTAATCTTTTGCCAGTCTGGATTGCATATTGATTTGACTTGCTTGGTGTATCAGTTGCACGTTGGTGCCCAATTTGGCCTTTTGATATTGTGGTTCCAGCCATGCAGCTACGGACCTGCCGTTTTGGCGTTTTCGGTGGGGCAGCTGAGCCGCAGCACCATCCCCAACCACGCGACACATTCAATGACGGAATTGAATCAAGGGCGGGCCCGACCATTGGGAATCGACGACGGTTGATTGACGCCTTCAAATCCGAAGATCATCTGCACTCTCGCGATACACCCCCCATCTTATATATGCACTTTTCACCTTGGTCAATCAACCACACTTACAAAAAAAAAAAACCATCCACATCCGCAATGCCAAACAATCACATGCAAGCCACAGCGACAGCAGCGCCGGTGCTCCCCCCACAGACACCACTAGCACCACCGCGGTCTGCAGCGGCGTTCATGGATCCGTCCAGGTGCCACCCCGTCTTCTTCACGGCCAGGGCGTGGCGACCGATATCTGGCGGGCCAAGCGCCACGTGGCAGAGCCCCATCGCACACGGGTACGCCTACCAGGACTCGCGGAGGCAGAGCGAGGGTGCGGCTCCGAGGTTATAGCGGTGTCAGGGCAACCTATGGGTGTCTCCATCCCACCAAGCCATCTACCTAATCAGTCCAAGTCTTGGAACGCTACCGAGAAATCTGAGAGAGCATGGTTGGCAGGGACTTGCGCACGAGCCTATGCAACATTCAATTCGATTTTCGGAAATCCTTCAATTCACGTCTTGTTCATTCGAATACCCAATGGGGAGCACAGCGGGAGCTGGGCATGCCTGAGTGGATGGGGCTCACACGACGGAGTCGTACATCGTGTATAATTGTATACTGGCTTCAAGAGGGAACTAAATCCTGACACCCACTGAAGGGTCTGTTTCGCCTCTGGTCGCCACACCCATAACAAAGAAAACGTGTTGCTGCCATATCGTGCCAAATGGGGGCATCGCAGTAGGTGCCAAAAAAACGCCAACCTGAGTGGGGGCCAACAAAACCCGTCACATAATACAAGAGCAAGGAAGCAGATCAAAGCGAGGACGGGAAGAAAAGAATTGAGATGACAGAATAGGCCAAGGGTCACTAGATAGCCCAGCCACCGAACCCTCACGAGTGCTTGACGGCGATGATGATGGTCAACAGGATCAAGACCACGACAAGGCCGAGTAGCCCCATGAGCTTGACGTTCTTCCACCACATCTGGCGCTTGAGCCCGCGGCTGCGAACGCGGAACTCGCGGGCGGAGCCGCCGAGGCGGTCCGTCTTGTCGACGAGCAGGTCGATGCGCTCGCCCCGCTCGAGCAGGCCCTCGATGTTGCGCGTCATGATGCCGCGCACGTCGTCGATCTCGCGCTGGACGTTGTGGACGGCGTCGTCGCGGCCCGAGCGCGTGGTGCCGAACTCGACCATGAGGCGGCGCAGCTCGCCGTTGAAGGACGCGGCGCCGTAGTTTGGCTGGTCGGCAAAGTCGGTCGTGTCGGGCGGGTACTCCTCGAGGAAGCGCCGGCGTATCTCGAACAGGTAGCCGAACGGCACGCTCCGGCCGACCGACGAGTCGGCGACGACGAGGAACGTCAGCCCGCCCGCGCTGGCCGCGTGCGGGCCGTGCTCGGCGGGCGACTCGGCCACGTAGTGGATGTGGTGCGCCCCGTGCGTGTACGTCAGCTTCTGCGCCGACGCGTGGCTGATCTTGGGCAGCACCAGCGACGCCAGCGACGACGTCTGCGACGACGCCGACGTCGTGCACTCGGCGAGGATCGTGCTGTTGTGCGCTATGCACGAGCTGCGGGTTGGTTGCACAAAGACGCGGTTAGTTGGGCAGTCTCGCGGGAGGCTCGCTCGGTGGCTACCGAGGTTGAAGGGACCAGGGGATCGGCCTACTATAGGAGCGGCGTTGCCGGAGTCGACGACGAAGCCATCGTGGCTTGTGTGTATGTGCGTGTCTTGTCGTGAGATGTCCTAGATAGACGGTGATCGAGACTCGATGACGAGTCCAACTCGTAACGCTGTTGGTCGGTTGGCAGGCTTTCGGGCACGGGATTTATCGCTCGCTCTTCGGTCGGGTCGCTGGGTCAGTTTCGTCTCGCCAGCGTTTGGAATGATGCCCAGGGCTAGGTGTGCGCTGCAGTTCGATCTCGGTTTCAATCATAAATATGCGGCCGCCTGGAGACGGGCTTCCCCATGCTATTCGACGATGCTGCTGCATGATGACGCTGCCACTGGCGTGCTCCGCCCCAGTCGGGTAAACTGCGGGACTCCCATGTCCCCACTTGCTAGCCGTTGGGACGACATTGAGATATACCGATAAGATAACGAGACTTATCCATATTTTTTTTTCTTAGAATGCCTTGCTTGGAGACTTACCAGAGCCCGCGACGAGACTCGCTAGTGACGGAGTAAACCATTAACAACTCTGAGGTTAGAGTTGCTGGTCAGGCAACTCTTTCGCTCTCGCCGCGAGAAAGGCATTGCCACGGTTCACCCGAAATTCCAATCTCGACGCAGTGCCCGGGAAACAATGCCCCTGGTCACCACTCCACGCCCCTCACCATGAAAACCCCTGTCCGAGCAGTCTTAGGGCGAACGTGTCAGTGTTTCCAGACCTTCCCGCTGCCGCCATGCCGGTCCTTCAGCGTCACAAGCGCTGCGGCTCGCAAAGGGGGAAAGAAGGCCAAGTCTAGGATTTCTGCTCCGAGCAGCAGCGCGAATGAGACGGACCCCTGGGCCCCCGCCATCCGTAAACCCGTTCCTCAACCCGTTCCGGAAGAAGCCCCTCAGCCCGCTTCTCGAGCTTCCTCCTCGGGCGCACCCGACACATATCACCATTTCCGCCTGCTTGTCCAGCGTCACCTCCAGGCGCTCATCCGCCAACTGCGCGAGCTGCAAGAGGAAAGAAGCGATGCCCTTCTCCACTTCGCCCTCGACGGCCCCGTCGAGCTGCACACGTGCGCCATCAACTTTGCCAAGGCCATAGACGCGAGTTTCGGGCTGGCTGCCGTCGGCACGACCAGCCGGTCCGAAAACCCGCTGTTCTGGGGGCTTCGTCATGGCTTCGTCCGCGGCAACTCTGGCGGCCTGGCTAGGGAACTCACCTACGCCTTCCGGAGCTTCGCCGGCGAGTCCAAATATTACAGCCCGCATCTCCAACTGCCATCAGGAAAAGAGTTGACCGACTTCCGTTTCCCACACGAGTGGTTCCCGGCCACGCGCGCCATGCACCGCACCATCCATCTCCACGTCGGACCTACCAACTCGGGCAAGACTTACAACGCCCTCAAGGCCCTGGAGACGGCCAGGACGGGAGTCTACGCCGGGCCGCTCCGCCTGCTCGCGCACGAGGTCTACACACGCCTTACGAAAAAGGACAAGATTTGCGCCCTACTCACGGGCGAGGAGCAGAGGATACCCGACGGCTTCCAGTTCATGTTCGCCGCCTGCACCGTCGAGATGACGCCACTCAACGACGTGCTGGACGTGGCTGTCATTGACGAGATTCAGATGATTACCAATGAGGACCGCGGGTTTGCTTGGGCTCAGGCCTTCCTGGGAGTGCAGGCTCGTGAGGTCCATCTCTGCGGGGAGGAACGCACCGTGGACCTGATACAGAACCTCTGCCAGAGGATCGGCGACACATGCATCATTCACAAATACAACCGCCTGAGCCCGCTGCAGACCATGCGGCGGAGCCTCGGCGACCTCAGGAATCTGGAAAAGGGGGACGCCGTCGTCTCCTTTAGCAGAGTCGGCCTGCACAGGCTGAAGGCAGGCATTGAAAAGCAAACGGGCAGGCGCTGCGCCGTCGTTTACGGGTCACTGCCACCCGAGACCCGAGCCGAGCAGGCGAGTCTGTTCAACGACCCTGACAATGACTACGACTATCTCGTGGCCAGCGACGCAATCGGCATGGGCCTTAACCTGGAGATCAAGCGTGTGATTTTTGAGGCCATCACAAAGTTCGACGGCACGATGCATCGAGATCTTGGGATTCCCGACATCAAACAGATAGGGGGCAGAGCCGGCCGCTTCCGCTCTGCTGCTCACGAGATCAAGGGGGGCTCGGCAACACCCCTGTTAGACGCACCAGCTGACCGCTCCGAGAAGCCTCCGGGGCTGGTGACAACTTTGGATCCCAAGCATTTAGCCCGTGTCCAGCACGCCTTCACCGTCGAGGTTCCTCAGATAAAGGTGGCAGGGATACTTCCTCCGGCGTCGAGTATCGAGGCGATATACTCTCTATTTCCACCCGGGACGCCTCTCAGCCACGTACTAGTCAAGATCCGGCAGCTGGCCAAGGTCTCTAGCGAGTTCTTCCTCTGCGACATCAAAGAGTGGATCGAAGTTGCCGACGCAATCGAGGGTCTCCCAATGGGTATTCATGACCGATGCACCCTTCTTAACGCGCCCACTTCCCGCGATACCATGGAAAGTCTCAAAGTGTTCGCCAAGTGTATATCTCAACAAAAGGGTGGACACCTGCTTGAGATTGAGGAGCTTGACCTGGAAGTGCTGGAGAGGGACCCAAAGGAGGTGACTAACCCGCGGGCCTTCCTGGATCGACTGGAGGTGGCGCACAAGAGCGTCACACTGTATCTCTGGCTCAGCTACCGGTACCAGGGCATCTTTCCAAGCCAGACACTAGCGTTTGAGGTCAAGAAGCGTCTAGAGGCGCGCATCGACGAGCAACTGGACAGGTTCGACTACAGGCCCGAGGCCCGAGCTGCGGCCACTAGGCGTCTCTACGAGCAGGCGAAGAAGCGCAGGCAAGAGCAGGGCGATGTGCTACCCGACCTAGACCTTGAGGAGGGCATCGGTGGCGATGTTGACGCCATGAGCGCGCACATCCTCGAGGGTATCCCTGAGGGCGGCGAGGAACCCATGATGGATAACCTGACGGCTCCCTAGAGAAGCCAAGCGCTGGGTCCGACACTTTTGTCTGTTTCCCCGTGTACGGCCATGTCCTGGCCTCTGTTGCGTATACGCTTCGTCGGCATGGGAGGAGACGAGGGCATGTGACAAATACTGTATAAAATACCTACCAATGTATATGAGCTTATAGAACTCTCTCCCTACCTACTTGAGTCGAAATGTAGACGAGCATAAACTGCTTTTGTTTGGGAGTCTAGTCGAGAAGGCAAAGAATGGGTACCTCGCATCTATCAAGGTATGTATATGTATATATATGTATATGTATGTATATGTATGTTCTGCACAAACTACCAAAAGTTTATCAAAGCCGGCGATGTTTAGGTGTAACCTGAAACAGGCAGACCGCCCAATAAAAGGCCGTGCCTTACATTACAACAACCAGAATTCGTTTCTCATATCATTCACCGTGTTTGTTCCTTTCCCATAGTCTACCATTGATTGTATTTTTTTAGCTAGGTATTTTTTTGGATCGTGTAGGCTGATACGGTGCCC